CAGTGAGATCACTACGACCGTCACTCGGGGCGGCGTCACTCGAGCTATCAGAACACACTCTGTGAGGTGTGTCCTGATAACTCTGTCTGTGAGACTCGTGATGCGAAGTTTTGGTGGTAGCATTTCTATCCATAGTTTCACAAACGTTTCAAGGAGCCTAGTCCGGCGATGTTCACTCTGAAGATCATTCGAACCCTACGCAAATGGTGATGGGTTTGTTGGCCAAAGGCCATGCAGTCGGGTTTCTGAATACCATGAGAAGTCGTGACTTTCTCTTTCTGCACCGTAATAACCTATCACAATGGATTGCTGCCTTCTTCTTTCGGAATTCTTTGATGCCGTTTCAAAACGAGTGAGCACGAGCATATTCCGGTCCGAATTCGTAAGCGTACATAACCTTATAATGCGCATCACACATTTGACTACCTGCTGAAGCCTTAGCGTGATGATCTGTGGAGGGACACCTGTGACTCGAGGAGTAATCCTCTGTTGGCGCTGAACAAAACATCAACTCATGACAGCTCCTTAGCTCAGCTCGAACGTGGGGCGACAGTGGGACGCCCAGCGGAACGGGGACCCACTAGGGATCCACCACGCGCTCTCAACCGCAAACGCGGCGACACCAGGTGACACGCTGGGCGGTGACCGACCCCGGACGAAGGTCATGGTGCCGGGCGTGAGCAGGTTCTCGGGCGTGCCGGCCGGCAGCAGGGTCGGGGGCACGCTGGCCGCGTCCAGCAGCGCGCCGTCCGGCAACGACAGGCAAGTGCGGTCGTCGTACAGGATCGGGACTGGGGTCTGCGGCGCGGGCACGGGTCAGGCGGTCAGGCGGACAGACGGACAGGAGGACAGGCGGACGGCCGGGGTGCCGGTCGACGGAGGACAGACGCGCGACGGCCGCGCCGCCAATGACGCAACCCGTCACAGCAGTGGCCATGCATGCTGTACGGTATGCAGGACATTGACAGTGACCCATGGATTTGAATGAAACCAGAGCTCAGACATGTGCACAAGCAGTGCAGCAATATGAAATGAATATGGATCGAATATGAACTTAGTGGAAATGGTTCAGCTGGGATTGACAAGATAGCACAATGGCCGCGGACGCGTACGCCAATGCATAGCGTTAGTTACAACATTCGACAGGACTGCAAGAATCGGGAGCAAAGATCACCCATGGAGTTTCGTAATCAAGGATTGCCTGGATTGCTACAGCTCGGAGGCTGTGCACTCTATGTAAACAGCCGAACGCGACCGAAACAGACCGCAGGATGGTGACGGGCACGTGCGCCGCTGCTGGAGGCGATCCAAGCACGCGGCAAGACGCACCTGTTCTGCGGCGTTGGCGGCGGACGCGCCGCCGCCGGCGGTGACGGCGCGCACCACCGGCACCAGCTGGTAGGCCACCACCTGGTGGTGCGGGTGTCGGGGTGCCAGCAGCCGCTGCGGCCGAGGCGTGGCGGCCGGCGCGGCGGCCAGCCAGGAGCCGCGCAGCGCCGCCTCCAGCCGGCTGCCGGCCGGACCGTCGCCGTCGCCGTCGCCGGCCGGGCGGCCGCCCGTGTGGCGTACGTAGATCTCCTGGCTGGAGCCGTCGCCGGACCGGATCAGGATGCGCTTGACGCCGAGCTGGCGCAGCTGGCTGTGCTGCGCTGGCGACAGACGGCTGACGGGCGGCGGTGGCGGTGGCGGCGGTGGTGGCGGCGGCGTCGGCGTCGGCGTCGGCGTCGGCGTCGGGGCAGCTCGCTTTACCTCAGCCTGAGCGCGCTGCACCTCAGCTAGCCGCCGCTTCAACACACTCTTGCCACGGCTGCCGTCCACCGTCTGCTCGAACAGCCGGTGCCGCTCGAGCGCCGTCACGCGGCAGATGTCGTCGAGCGACGGCGGCCGCGAGAGGGCGCGTGGCGTGCCGGCCGGCGTCGGCGGTCCGCTCCGTCCGGTGCGCGGCGCTGGCGAGAAGGCCGCGCTGGATCAGCGGTCACCAGACGCATGATATGGCCGCTACGATCAGCGGCGCAAATAGAATCGCTTGCATTTGGCTGCAGAACCATGCTTCTACATGATGCAAGCAATCGTCCAGGTTGTGACAAGCTGTCGAAGAAGAAAAATTCACCGTGCAGAAAGTGCACGCTACAAAAGATGATCGACGCACAAAGTACGGCAAGATACTGCTATGGACGTTTCCTTGCACATCTGCAGTGACAATTGTTGTGAGCACGCCCAGCCGGCCCGGAGGCACATCATGCCGTCCCAGCCGTGTCGCGGCGCGGCCTCGGCCGCGCGGTGGAACGCGACCTATCGCCGCGGGCGCTGACCGCCGTCCCGCGGCGGACCGTACGGGACGCGTGATAGGCGCGTGTGTGCAAGCTGACTTATGAGTGATTGTTCACCCGAACTAAATGGTATGTCGTGTCTGCCTGGGATAGCAGGGGCAGGACGCCGCTGGACTCGGTTCAACACAGATCGCCGCGTCGCTACACGTCTCTCTCTGACCGAGCTGAGCCGAACCACTGGACGAAGACGTCACAGCAATGATACACCGCAAACTAATAACGACTCTGAAATTAAGTACACGATTTTTAGGGCAGTGTTCAGGAAAGGTAAAACCATTCGTTTAGGTAATTTCAATTAAAACTTAACGTAGTGAAATTGCATAGGAAAATTTCGTCCCCTCCACAAACTTTACCGTCGGTACGGGACTGCCGCAGCGTGAATCTAAGCCGCGCGACAATCAATACTGTTTTCCAGCCGACGACACAGTACACGAACAAGGAACCGGAACGGAGAACGGGCATCCATCACGTGCGCGGAGATAGCGTTACTGCAAGACACGGTGCCAAAGGGAACCGTCAGTCCCAACGGATGTGTCCGCAGGCGCTCACAGGATCGCAGTCAGGGGCCACGCGCCCCGGAGCCGGCCGTCCGACGGCGGGGCTCCGGCGCTCGAAACAAGCCTCACTCACTGGCGCCTGCGGAGCGCGGCGCTGCCAGACCGGCCGGCCTCCGCAGCAGTGGTGTCGTGGGAATGAGCGAATGCCGGGACCGCTGCATGTCTGAAACAGGCCAGCACCACCCGTCACCGTCCGGTGGCGCGCGCACCTCTCAGGATCAACAGGCACGGATCATGGGTCATGGGATCAACAGACATGGGTTGTGGGATCAACAGGCACGGGTCGTGGGACCAACGGGCACGGGTCGTGGGATCAACAGGTACGGGTCGTGACATCAACAGGCAAGGGTTGTAGGATCAACAGGCACGGGTCGTGGGATCAACAGGTACGGGTCGTGGGATCAACAGGCACGGGTCGTGGGATCAACAGGTACGGGTCGTGGGATCAACAGGTACGGGTCGTGACATCAACAGGCACGGGTCGTCAGATCAACAGGCACGGGTCGTCAGATCAACAGGCACGGGTCGTCAGATCAACAGGCACGGGTCGTCAGATCAACAAGCACGGGTCGTCAGATCAAAGGCACGGGTCACGGGTCGTAAGACCAACAGGCACGGCCTACGCACTGTTATGGGCTAGTCATCTGCTGCGATCATACAGGACCCCTCCGGCAACACCCACGCTATTTGTCCGCGTTTCGCAAGGCGCTGGCTTTCGACGCTGTCAACGCAGCAGCCCCCGCAAGAGCATAACCAAGCGGAGCGTTCAGGCACTGGCTAGCGCTGGCTGACTAGCACGGAGGAGGCCTTCGTGCCAGACCAAAATAAAATTATTTTCCCCGTATGGTTGCGATCGCCATGTTCCACTACGGTGACTTCTTGTGGTCAACTATTGAGTGGAGTCTCTGTCGGTCATTCCATGTACATCACAACCTTACGTGGATTCAAGTTTCGGGATGCGGTCAATCCGTTCCACCAACATCAAACCTAACGAACCCGTCTTCAAGCCTTTAGGCCAGAATAGTTTGAAATAAAGCGCAGCCTTTACTTGGCCTCTACGACATTGTTCCGCAATGCAGAATACATCAGCACATGAAAACCTGTATCATGGTTGCCACCACAGCACACCAGCCTAGCCGATCTGAAGCGGCGCACCATGACAACGGGCAATGCCTGTGACGCGCTATCACGACAGCGGCGCAGCGGCGCCGGCAGGAGCGGCCCCGACGGCGACATACCGGGCTCCACCGGGATCGGGTCGACGTGCGCGCCCGTGTAGGCGAAGAGCGGCCGCCGGCATGCGCCGCTCGTCTCCTTGCCCACCAGGCCGACGCTCTGCAGGATGTTGGCGATATCGTAGAGCCGGCGGACCTTCGCCTTGTGCTGGCCGTCCGGCGACAGGCCGTCCTGGCCCAGCAGCACCCGCGCCAGCACGTCCTGACTCAGCCACGGCTGGAGACGACCGACCAACAGTGAGGCACTAGGCGGGACGGCGGCCCATAACACTATCCCACCAGCGGTGCCACCTGGCTGGTGATAGGGAACGCGCCAGCGTCCTGTGATAACCACCGACCGACGGACGATGCCCTCAACACAAGACCAAGGGAAGCGGCCGAGCAAGAAGTATATTACTGCGGTGTCCTGGTATTAAGCAGCGGCACAGACACCGCGAGTCGTGCTGCCACAGGCCAGCGACCCCCGCTCGGGGAACACCCCTGGCTTCCCACCAGTACCCGGCGGTGGCTGACCAGAGGCCGCCACAGGTCAGCGAGCCCCGCTCGGGGAGCACTCCTGGCTTCCCACCAGCGCCTGGCGGTGGATGGCCAGAGGCCACCACAGGCCATCGAGCCCCGCTCGGGGAGCACCCCTGGCTTCCCACCAGTCACACCGGGCAGCGGCTGACCAGACTAACCCGGTCGCTGACGAGCAGCAGCATGACGAACTTCTGAGTAAGCACGCCGAGCGTGCGGTCGCCGCGGTCGCGGGGCGTCAGCCGCTCGGCGTCGGCGGCCAGCGGCGTGCGCGGCGTACCCGGCGTCAGGCCGGGACTGGTCGCGCCCGTCAGCACCGGCTCGGACGCATTGCGACGCAGCGCCGGCGACTGCAGGCCGTCCGACACCTGCAGCGCCGCCCGCAGGTGCTGCGGCAGCTCCAGGTGCAGCGCCAGCCCCTTCAGCCGACCCAGCGTCTCCAACAGGTCGCGCCTACCGATCCACGCGTACCGGTTCTTTTCCAGCTGCGGCAGAGGCGTTGTCGATTGGCGTCATGAATCAGGGTCGAGGGCGATGCAGATTCGGGTTCATCTGTGTGTTACAGGGTTTGTACACATGCCTCAGTTGTTAGGATGAACCTTGAGTTTGTATTTAGTTCCCCATAAAGTCCATTTAACATCAGTTGGGCAGAGCGCCGAGAATGCGCCGCAGAGATGATTACCCCCGTTTTCACTGCGTACAACAGAACCTTACTGACATCTTGAAATGACCTGCAAACCTAAAAGCTTCCAAAAATTGCTGGAGCCAAGGGATGGATCTTGACGTACAGACGTCCCACGAAGGAAGGAAGCCCCAGTAATGTATAGTGACGAGCCCGGGGAGCGCAAAATTAACTCCCATATTCAGGTGTCCGAATATCTCTCGGCACCAAACATGAGGACATCTTTTTAAAAACACAGCCTTTCATCTCGTATTAAACGTCATTTGGTGAGTTTTGGGTGACTTAAGCCACCATGGGAAGGTAGCACGACGAGCACATGGGCCAACACATTTCCAGGGATACGCATCTCCGCACATGCGGTTATATAACATTACCCGGACGCGCGAAAAAAGCGATTACCCCAGGGAGGAGTTGAGAAGGTCCCGGGACTCGTAACACATGTCTTACCTTAATCGAGAAATGCAGACTTTCTAGAACATTTACTATGTCATATATTCTTCTTCGCTCAGTGCCCAAAAGAAGGGCCGTCTCGTCTAAGGGGAGGAACATGTCCTTTCCGACGTCCAACGGGTATATTTCCAGAAACCTGGAGAAGGATAGCTTATGAACATGGAAACATGACAGGAGCCACCCATGCTGTACCCAACTGGCCTAAATCCAGTTGCGATTTGCAGAGGGTTCGACGTCAAATCATAAGGGACATATAAAGCTTTAAGACAATTTTAAGACTTCACTGAAATACTTACATCGTATATGACCGTGATAAACAACACAAAAACATGCTGAATAACAAGTTACTGCGAACTTTTTTTTAAACTACGAAAATTAACTACGAAAATTCAGAGTGCAACGTTCTTTGTTGCACACTCCAACAAGGAAAAACTGTTTTTACCTACAGTTAACATGATTATTCATGATAAGGAGTCCATTTACCTAGCACACAGCACCGATAGGGACTTCTCTTTTCTCGGCTTCGACACAGAGGCCGGAGCTGGTGGAGGGGGCGCCGGCAGTGGACTGTCGGCCCCAGAAAGTGGCAGCACGTCGCTCGCGTGCTTCTTCCACCGCAGCTTCGGCGTAGCCAGCGCCTTCTTCAGCTTGGCGGAGTCCCCAGGCCTACATAAGGACACGGGCGTGTCGAACACGCTGCGGTACTGCTGCACGGGCGTGGTCAGCAAGCCGCCGGGGGCGCCGTGCGGCCACGCGCTCCCCTCACTGCATGGCGTCCGCGGCGGCTGTCGACCGTCGCAGGTCGGCGGCAGCGGTGAGGCCGGCCGCCGGGTCGGGCCAGCTGCCGCCGCCGGCACGTTTTCCCTGTCCGCTGGTGGCGACGGCTCGCCACCCGCCGCGCCGCCGGTGAACAGCGACTTGCGTGAGCCGCCGCCGGCCTGCTGCGAAGCAGCGATAGTGGTGAGCAGCTTCAGGTTGGTCATGGGCGTGGGCGGCGTGTCGCTGGGGCGCGGCTCGGCGGCGCGCCGCTCGCCCGGCCGCCGGCCCTCGCCCGACCAGTCGGGCGTGGCGCACACGTTAGTCAGCTGGCCCAGCGGCCGGCGCGGCGGCTGCGGTGGCGTCTGTGGCACGCCGTGGGCCGCCTGGCCTGTAAACACCGACCAAATGTACATACAGCTACCCTGTCAGGTGATGCAAACACCCACCAGATGTACATCCAGCTACCCTGTCAGATTATACAAACACTGACCTGATGTACATTCAGCTACTCTGTCAGGTGATAGGCACAGGCATAGTGAGTGGCATGCAACAAGCTGGTCACAGTAACCAGTTCTCAAATCCTTATGACTGGCACATTATGCAGCAGCAACAAGTGGTATATGAGTGAACTCAGGCATTTTAGATCAAATATGAACAAAGCTGGTCTCAAAAACCAATTTTATCACCTTTTTAATATTTACATGAGGAAAGCCCTAAAATACATGAAGATATGAGAGCTGGTGTATGCACACCACATCTGGTTATCTTTAATGATTTCACCTGTAAGAGCTACAACCATCACATGTCCATTTCACAATCCAGAACCTAGTGACCATTGGTAACAGACTCTGGTCAGCTAAATTAAGCTAAGACACTTACCTAATAAGGACATGGACACACTGAGTAGTGTATCCATCTTTCCACACAAGTATGTGTTGAATCAGGATGTCAGTCTGTGGGCTAAAATAGGCATACAGTAAGCACACCATATGGTGACTTTCCTTGACAAGTCAATGGTGCCTTAGCTGTCTTGATTATCATGACAATCCATTTGCTCCATATGCAAAATACACACATGGCTTTGGCACTGACTAAAGCAATAATGACCATGATTATAAATTACAGCCCAGTTAAGTGACTTGTTTTAGCAGGATCACATTAATGCAGCAGTGCTATCCCTGGAATGGCCAGCCAAGTCAGAGCCAAGGGAGCTAGTGACCCCCCCCCCCCCCTTCCCCAACTGAATCCTCTATTTTAGTTTGATACATGGTTCCTGACAAGAGGTTTTAAAAATCAGTGTAATGAGTTCTTGTTGATCCTCCTCCTCTTCAGAAAATTCTGCCCGTGCCACTGACACCCAGGTACTGAGACTTCCAGGCATTTGGTCGACGTTCGTGCCATGACTCGAACTGCACAAGCTTGAGTTACCGGGTACGACCAGTATCTATGTGAAACAAGCTACATTCCCTTCGAGTATACAAATAGTTAATGTTGAATTAAAACAGAGCTGCCGTTTTCTTCACACTTTTACCCACACACAAATCAGAAACAACCAATATATGAAAATAAACTCACTGTCCTACAGATTTCGCGCGTCCACACGACCAGACCAAACCCAAAGGCTCCGCAGTCTTCGTATTTGGCGGGGACGCCGGTTTTTTAAACCCAGAGGCAATTATCATAACTTGTGCAAGTACCTTAACTTTTAAATTGAAATATCACAGAATGCAAGCTTAAAATGAGATTTTTCGTGGGAAAGTAAAATTTATTCTTAATTTCCGCTCTTAAGATATCCCAACTTCATTAAAAGAGGAAATTAAATTAAATAATATGAAAACGATCTGGTCGTACGGTTTGTCTCAGTAAGGTACTTTGTTCCTCGTAAATGGAAATGCCTTCTCTGCCAGCAATTGTTGCTGGCAATCCATATTCTCAAGCTGCTCAAAACCGTTTTAAAAAACGTTCACACTAATGGTGAAACATTTCTACCAGTGATTATCCTATCCTCACGAGCATTTTTCTCAGACAACTGTCCCAACTTCCAGTTGGGACGAAAGTTGCGGTTCAAATTGTAAAGATCTTAAAGTTTGGGAAGTGTGATGATCTTAGCTCATCGTAAACAAAACAATGTTGAAGCTGCATGCTTACAAATAAGTAGTGAGCCCAAATGGTGAAAAGGCAAAGGCTGTAAAAGTTGAGAAAAGTCATTAGTACGTCACAAATGGACTCAGAGACAGCAGTAATATAGTATCGGCCTTGCTATAATGCCTTCACTGCGTTACAAGTGCCTAACGCCACTATAACTCACTCAATTCCCATACCATTTCCATATGACATGAAACGGAGATCCTGAGAGAGCCGGCGCAAATGTGATAGGAACCGTCCTTTGCAGGCGGCTGTTCTGCAAGCGCTAATTATTTACTGTGGTAGCCCCTGTGACCGAAGCTGAGGCGTTATCGATAAATCGGTTTTGCTGTTTTTCCGTGTGGAAATAGGCTTTGTTTTAACGTATCACAGGCCAAATTACACCCCGATCAACGCAAGCGCACCACCAGGAAGCTCAAATTTGTGTATTAGACATGTCGTCGAAGAAGAACCAAACAAATGCGCTGAAGGCTGAAGATGTTGTCCAGGCTGTGCTTTTGGCTGATAATTTTACAGAAAATATTGCACCTTATTCTCTTAACTCACCACTGGTATGTCATTGTTCTGGGCACCTCAGCCCTGGTTTCATCATAATCTCCTGATCCCATAATGCCATCGGAATGTTACTGTTCTGTTGTCATATATGCTGTGTTGACATGATTAAATAAAATAGAATAGAAAGCTGTAGAACAAATGCTCTGAATTAATGAATGTGAAACCAATCAGAGAGAGACCATCAAAGCTAACATTAAAAAAGTAGCATTTATATGTTAGACACTTGGCACAAAAGGGATGTGGCAGAGTGTATTAGATGCACATACTGTGTTAATACCTGGCATATGGAGGTAGTAATCTGGAGCCTGTGTCTAGGTACCGCTGCCCGGTTTGTGTTCTTCTGGATTGCGGTTCATGGTGGAGCTTTTTCCCTTGCACCCAGTTTGATTCCTCTGAATGTAACTAGTGTTTACAAGAATAGATGTTTCTACATAAGAACTGGTGAACAATCAACAATGTTAGGTTGAAGGCTTTCAATAGACCAAGAGTTACAAGTCATATGATGCTGTAATGTGAAATAATGATTATGGTTAAGAAATTATGATAGTGATGTGATCACAAATTAACATTCTGATAATGATTAAGCTTTATCATGCACAAGCATTGTGATTGCCATGATTATTATTAATCACTGTTATTATGTAGCATTAATATCAATGCTTATCATAATTCTTATTTAGCATAATTAACATTAGCCAGCAACACAAAGGGGTGCCAGTCGTGCAGTGGTCAAGGTGTTTGCATTAATCACAGTTCATCTGGGAAGTCAGCCATACAGGGTTTAATCCCCGACAGTGCCTGTCTTTTCTGCCAGGATGAAGGGGCAGGTAATGTCACGTAGCCTCTGCAGCTGAGTGTGTCATAAAGCCCCAGTGATGAAAGTGAGCATTACAGTGTCAGTTGACTACTACTGTTTGGTAAAATTAAGGCTGTCACCTTAACATTAGAACTTTTGACTCATAATATAAAAAACCCAGAAGAAGGCTTCTCTTTCATATACAGAGTACCATTTTTACCTCATTGTGATTGACCCATGGTTTCAAGGATTACCCTGAAAACAATAGTGAACTTGGTTGTATGCAGGCGGTATCAACCATGTCCCAAGATGTTTATATCTGCACATTTGTATTCAAAGTGAGCCAGTTAGATATTTAAGTTATGGCACCAGTAGTCCTCATTGCATCCTCCTGATGGACCACAGCCCTTCCTTGAAAGGTTATTTTGTTACAGGGGTTGGTCCTGTTGGTGAATGTGCCACTACTGGGCTATGCCTTGGAGTATCTGGAAGCAGTTGGGATACATGAGTGCTTCATATATTTATGCAAGTCTCCTGATGAAGTTAAGAAATATATCAGGTAAGTCAGATGCGTATAAGTTATAACATATGCATTTCTCCATGTGTTGCAGGTGTTCTCATATTTGCACTCCATGGTAGTTCTATTTGCACATCATGAGTGTTTCTGCCTGTGTGGCATCCCAAACAATGCACATTTTTTGCTAACATTTCTTGAGGGCAGGCACAAGGGGGGCACATGGTTGACAAAGAGCCCTCATAGCATAAGGGCCCCATAAAACTCTCAAGGTATGGCCCAGTTATTAATGAGAGCATGCTATATACCTATATATGTGTATGTATGTGGGTAATATATACATATACATACATACATACATACATTTCCCATCCTGATAGGAATAGAAGTCAGACATTATCATCTATATGTCTGAAGGCTAGAATAGTCAGTAAACTGAAAAAAGGTCATGTGTTAAACAACATCTGCATGAGATAGATTACTGATTCTCTTCATTTTACATCGGTCCAGTGATCTCTTCAAAGCAGTAGAACTCAGAAACTTTGTCAAAATGCTTATCTGGGTTATACAGAGATGGGCAAGGACCCTGCAAAAGTGGATGGGAGATCAAAATGTGTCAACAATCTGTATAAACATGGCCAAGCCATGTTTGTCTGGAAAGGTCCAACATTTAGTCAGAATTAGTCAATTATACAATTTTTGACATTGTTTTGGGCATGCATACTCGCATATCTTTGCAACAAAAAACTAAACGCCAGGCGTTGAAGTCTTCATAGGCCGCGCAACGTTGGTCCCGTGGCTAACACAAGGCCGTGGCCAACAGGCTGATGAAAATGATGACACATTTTTAATAAATGCCTATAAATGCTTTGTGGCATAAAATCGTGCATTTAGAAATATTCCGGGTTTATATTATACCTGTGTGATTTCTAGATTGATGATAACAACTGTATCTTTACAACAATGCAGAGAAGTGCTTGAATCTGGTGGTGGAAATGGTGGCCCTGACTGGTACAGTATGCCTCCACTGCTCCATCATGAGCACTCGCCATAGGTTGTCACGTCTCCTTTCAGTGTCAGAAGGCCCCGACCAGTGCAAGAGGCCCTCTGTCATTTGAGCTCACGTCCCCGTCCCTGTTGAGCAGACCTTCCCCCGACCGATTGGAGGCCCTGTGCTGACATAGAATTCCCTGTTAGGCGCTGTTGGTCCCTGGCAGATAGAAGGCCCCAGACCATTGTAAATTACTGGTCCTGGCTTTATCGCTGTTTGGGAAATGGGCCTTCAGGCCCATACCGACATGGAGGCGACTGCGCGGTGCTGGTGGCGCCTGACCGATACATAGACCAAATCGACGCAGGGTTTGCCAATCGGCGCGAAGGGCCCGCTGACTGTTGTTTGAGAGGCCATCCCAGCAAGCCAGGCTCCTTAATAAGACGCTGACCAGCTCCTTGCGCCTTCAGACCCACCAATCGGGCCCTTGATCATCGGATCCGGTGGGCCTTCTTGGCTCTGCGGACGTCCTCGAACACTACCTCTGGCCGAATCAGGGCCCTTTGGCAATACAGGGCCCCTGTAAGTGACTGTGGGGCCCCTGACAGACGTTGGAGCCCGACCAATGTAAATATCTGGCTCTGGCCTCGTGCTTGCCTGGGACATGGACCCTGAGGCTCATGTTACCACGAAGGCGACTTTGCGTTACTGGTGGTGTCTGACCGACAGGCCCTTATGGACTCGGTGGACCCGCGATTAGCGCATAGGGCCCTCTGGCTGGCATTGGAGCGCCCAGCCTTGCGGGCTGGAGTCCCTGAATGCGACCTCCGGCATGCTTTTTGGGCCCTTCAGACTTTTAAATCAGGTCCCTTGTCGTTGGTTCCGAGGGGCCCTTCGGACCCCTGAGAACCTAAGGGGAGGGTACGTGCCCCCTGTGCCCCCTGCCTGCGCTTCTGCTCGAGGGCGTTCAATCGGTGTGCGTGAGCTGTATTTCTGACCGATTTTTTTTATTTCGGGCAGTGCAAGCCGCTGGCTGGATGGTAGCAATCCGATGGTGATACACATCCAGACGGCGGAAGACTGCCTCTCTCTTGGTGATGTCATGAGAGACCTGGATGCCAAGGCGCTCATCCAGTCTGACTTTCTTCTCATGTCAGTTGACTGCATCACAAACGTTGACATCGTGCCCATCATTAGGGAGCACAGGTAAGCTGGGGGCTTACTGGCCACCCTGTGGCTCGACACGTGATGGGAAAACAGATACTGGCCATCCTGTGGCTCGACACGTGATGGGAAAACAGATACTGGCTACCCTGTGGCTCGACACATGATGGGAAAACAGATACTGGCCACCCTGTGGCTCGACACGTGATGGGAAAACAGATACTGGCTACCCTGTGGCTCGACACATGATGGGAAAACAGATACTGGCCACACTGTGGCTCGACACATGATGGGAAAACAGATACTGGCCACCCTGTGGCTCGACACGTGATGGGAAAACAGATACTGGCCACACTGTGGCTCGACACGTGATGGGAAAACAGATACCGGCCACACTGTGGCTCGACACGTGATGGGAAAACAGATACTGGCCACACTGTGGCTCGACACGTGATGGGAAAACAGATACTGACCACACTGTGGCTTGGCACGTGACGGGAAAACAGATGCGTCAGAAATGAATGTGTATGATTTCCGCAGTATTGTGTTTCAGAATACATGTGTGTCATTTACAAACAAGAAAAACATATTAGCCTTGACCGTGATCACTGTCCGTGATTAAATCGATCTGTGGTACTAGTTAGTGGCGATTTTTGAGCACTTGTGTGGAAAGTGGATCACATTCGGTGCTGCTCTTGATTTTGCAAAGATTTTCATTGATGTGTGAGTGGTCTGCTGTACGCGTGTTGGTACGTCCAGAGTGTCGTGAGGTCATGACACAGCATTACCATTGTTACATTACCATTGTCAGTACATAATGGGCACATTACTCCTAGGCAGCACTGCTCTCATTTTTGCTTGCTCCTGTCGGACTTGAATACGGATTGCCTGCACTATGCTGTGTAACTGTATGGTCCTAGATCACTCCAGTATAGCGAGCGGTCCGTGTGTGGCTAGCTTTCTCCGCGGCTCCGCCTGCCGGCGGTGCGCGTGACCGTGGCATGTGTCGGCAGCGCGCGCCGGAAGGCGGACGACCGGGGCTCGGTAATGACGCTGCTGTACCGAGAGGCGTCGCCGCGCCACCCGGCCCGCCACTGGGACGCCCAAGTGCTGCTGGCGGCCGACCAAGAGACGGGCCGCGTGGTGCACCACCAGCGGCTGGCGGCCGGCCAGCGGGGCAAGGTCACACTCCCCCTGGTCAGTCCGCGGGGCAAGGTCACACTCCCCCCGGTCAGTCCGCGTGGCAAGGTCACACTCCCCCTGGTCAGTCCGCGTGGCAGGGTCACACTCCCCCTGGTCAGTCCGCGTGGCAGGGTCACACTCCCCCTGGTCAGTCCGCGGGGCAAGGTCACACTCCCCCTGGCCTGTCCGCGTGTCAGGGTCACACTCCCCCCGGTCAGTCCGCGTGGCAGGGTCACACTCCCCCTGGTCAGTCCGTGTGGCAGGGTCACACTCCCCCTGGTCAGTCCGCGTGGCAGGGTCACACTCCCCCTGGTCAGTCCGCGTGGCAGGGTCACACTCCCCCTGGTCAGTCCGCGTGGCAGGGTCACACTCCCCCTGGTCAGTCCGTGTGGCAGGGTCACACTCCCCCTGGCCTGTCCGCGTGGCAGGGTCACCCCTCCCCCCCTCCCTCCCCTGGTCAGTCCACGTGGCGAGGTCATGCTTGGCCAGTCCCGGGCGTTGGACATGCGGGTGGGCCTCCCTGTCCTGTGTCAAATCGAAGCACATCTCGGCCATTCTGTCGGTGGCCGTGTGGCGCGTCATGGCATACTGCCGTTCTCTCGGCCGGTCGGCTGGCCCTCTTCGCCTGGTGCCGTCTGTCTCCACGGCGGAGCCGACCACTGCCGGCTGCAACCAGACGGGCCAGATCGGAGGAATCGCACCTTATCCCTGTCCCCCCCCCCCCCTCCCCGGTCTGCGCAGAGCGACATTGTCGTGGTGTTCGCCGGGGTCATCCACGCGTGGCTTTGCTTATAAAGATGGTCTGTAAGATCTTTGACTTTCGCGTTGCCAGCGCGTGGCAGGCTGTACTTAAAAATTGGCATATATATATTTTTTTCCTTGCTCGTCATGATAACTGATTTGCAGCAGACTGTTTCCACTGCTTCGGTCAACATGACAAATATAAAAAGATTCACCCACCCAATCATCAAACTCAGTCACCACCGCGAGCTGCAGGGTGATCTTCTCCCCGTGTACCTGCCTGTCGTTGTTTGGGTGTCACTGTGCGATGTGTCTTGACGTGACGGTGCCGGGGTGTGTGGTGCAGCACATTTTCCAGGCGGCCAGCGCCGTGGAGGTGCGGTACGACCTGCTGGACCCGGGCATCAGCATCTGCTCGCCAAACGTGCCCCAGCTCTTCTCGGACAACTTTGACTTCCAGACGCGCGACCACTTCGTGAAGGGCATCATCGTTAACGAGGAGATTCTGGGAAGCACCATCTACTACAAGTGCCTGAGCGCGGACTACGCTGCCCAGATCAGCGGTCTGAACGCGCTGGTGACGGTGACGTGAGTGCTGCGGTATCAGCCGCTGCGGGCCTGACTGTCCCGACCAATCTGATGAAGCAAGCGAGACATATCACATGCAGAGCGGGCATCTCCAACTCTCCACTTTGCGGCGCACACTCGTATAGGATTTTTTTTTCTCCCGAAAATTCTTGCGTTTTCTCAAAGTTCACTTTCTGAAATATTCTAGTGCTTTTCTCAAAGTATTCTGTCGTTTTGCACTTTTCAAATGGCTCCGAACTTAACGTGCTTTGAGATGGTACTTAAACCAAGCGTGATATAAGGAGTGTAAAGATTCACGTGCCTTCGTCTACGCGCCGCGGAAGACTTGCTCTTTGGAAGTGCCTGGAGCGTTGTGACATCTTCTGGTTCATATCGTAACTTGTTGGCCAAATTTTGATCTTTTTTAACAGTGGTTCCTCGCGTTGCAACCAAGTTTCGACCTTGGACCCATTTGACTACGGCGGCGAGTGCCGGGGTGAGGGGGGGGGGGGGGGATGTGTTGGCGTTTTATGGCGGGGAGTTACTTCAGACGAAAAGATCCTAAAGTAGCAAACATTTCCGAAGATCCCAAAGTGGCAACATTTCAGCTTGCATTCTTAATCTTTCTCGGAATGTAAAAATGGGGTATTCTGAAATGTGTAGACTCCTTAAAAAAAACCCTGTGACTGCGTAGGTCATAAGGTACGATAGGTATGTCTCGCTGTAAGCAAGGTTTGGCCCATCACTTTGTACATTCCCACATGCATTGCTTTCCGTGGCGCACTATGTTCCGTTCGTCGTTAGCAGAATGTTTGATCGTTTGTTGCCGTTGCCGCAGGCGGGACGTGATGGACCGCTGGGCGTACCCGGTGGTTCCTGAGAACCGCGGCCACACCAGCCACATCCGCTGCATCCAGCGGAATGTCTACAGGCACAGGACGGCCACCGTTGGCAGGTGGGGCCCCGGCCTGAACGACTGCTCGGTAGTCTACCGCCCGTTGCGTCGTCTTTTCAACAACACTGCAAGAGATCGGTGGAGGGATTCCTCTATTTGCCGCAGTAGCAGCCGCTGACGCCGGCCGCCTCCACCCGCCAGGGACAGTCGGCTGGAGGAGAGCGTGGCGCTGGCCGACGGCGTCATTGTGGGACTCCGCTGCCGCCTGCTGCGAGCCGTCGTCGGGCCCGGTTGCCGGCTCGGCGACGACGTGGTGCTCGAGGACGCCGTGCTGGACGCCGGCTGCCGGCTGGGAGACCGGACGCGCGCCTGCCGCGCGCTGCTCGGCGCCGGCGTGCAGCTGCGCCCGGACGTGGTGCTCGAGCCTGGCTGCGTGCTGGGTCCGGGCGTGGTGGTGGACGAGATGCGCACGCTGCCGGCCGGTACCCGGCTGGCAGCCCAGCCGCGCCCGGACGAGTTCGGCGACCTCCAGCAGCCCGAAGGTGGGCACATGTGACGGGGGGCGGGGGAACGCTTGCGTGGGTGTTCCAGAGGTCTACGCAGCGCTGTGGTGAAGATACGATTGGCAGAGTCTGCTTGTGCCTCGCGCTGGGTGCCGTGCCAACAGTCCCGTCTATCCCAGTACTGCGCCAGTAGTCCCGTCTGACCCGGTGCCGTACCGGCAGTGTCGTCTGTGCCGGTGTGCCGTACCAGCAATGTCTGACCCGGTGTGTCGTACCAACATTGTCTGATCCGGTGTGCCGCACCAGCGGTGTCTGACCAGGTGCCGTACTGGCAGTGTCTGACCCGGTGTGCCGTACTGGCAGCGTCTGACCCGGTGCCGTACCAGCAGTGCCTGACCGGGTGCCGTACTGGCAGCGTCTGACCCGGTACCCTACCAGCAGTGTATGACCCGGTGCCGTACCAGCAGTGTCTGACCCAGTGCCGTACTAGCAGTGTCTGACCCGGTGCCGTACCAGCAGTGTCCGACCTGGTGTGCCGCACCAGCAGTGTCTGACCGGGTGCCGTACCAGCAGTGTCTGACCCGGTGCCGTACCAGCAGTGTCTGACCCGGTGCCGTACTAGCAGTGTCTGACCCGGTGCCCTACCAGCAGTGTCTAACCCGGTGCCATACCAGCAGTGTCCGATCCGGTGTGCCGCACCAGCAGTGTCTGACCGGGTGCCGTACCAGCAGTGTCTGACCCGGTGCCGCACCAGCAGTGTCTGACCGGGTGCCGTACTAGCAGTGTCTGACCCGGTGCCGTACTAGCAGTGTCTGACCCGGTGCCGTACCGGCAGTGCCGTCTGACCCGGTGCCGTACCGGCAGTGCCGTCTGACCCGGTGCCGTACCGGCAGTGCCGCGTGAGCTGGTGGGCGACAGTGGCCGCGGGTTCGTGTACGCGGCGGTGCCGTACCAGCAGTGCCGTCTGACCCGGTGCCGTACCGGCAGTGCCGCGTGAGCTGGTGGGCGACAGTGGCCGCGGGTTCGTGTACGCGGCGGACGACGAGGATGATCCGCTGGCGGCGGCGCCTCTAGGCCCGGCCGTGCCGCCGCCGGCCAGCGTCAGCAGCGACAGCGGCGAGAGCAGCGACGACGAGGACGACGAGGGGGAGGAGGGGGAGGAGTGGGCGTCCGGCGCCGCCAGCCCGCCTCTGGACGACACCAGAAGTGAGCGACACCGCTGCGGCGGCCGGCCGCCGGCCCGCTCTATGGCATGGCTCTGGAAGGCCGCTCGTCTTCTGCGTGCCAAACGTATTCCCTGCCCCAGTAGTTTTAACGTTAAGGGTTTTGAGATTCGCTATTTGCTGTTGCCTGAGGACGCGGAACTTTTCCGGATCTTTTGTGATGGTGTTGCAATGCGTGTCTTTCCACTAAAGCACGTAAACAAATATGTGAACCAATGAATGGCGAAATCGTCTCGAATGGGCCGTTTCTTTGTTGCGTACAAACACATTGCCTCTGGTTCTTTTGGAATGACCCAGAGCGAGAGAATAGCGTTGAGAAGGAATGCAGAGGACGATTGAGTGAGGCCATTTACTCATTCCCACTCCCACTTAACTCGCATTCCTTTGTGCGTGCCTTAAGATAGCTTAAAGAAAATGTGCGATGTTTATCCACCCTCCTGCCCTCGTCTTCCAAATCTGTGAATGGCATGTCCGTTCGCCCATTCTTAGGGCTGAAGGTAATTCGGTGAGGATGTTAGTCACAATTTCCCATCTCCAAAAGGCCCTCTGCAAGCCTGTGAGTCTGTGGCCTTTCAGTGTTCTACAACGAGGTGTTGGACAGCCTGGTTCGCGGCTACAGTGAGAAGATCCGGACGGAAAACCTCATCCTGGAGGTGAACTCGTCCAAGTTCGCGTACAACGTGACCGTCCAGGAGCTGAACTCGCTGGTGGTCAAGGTGAGGAGGTTTGTCGCAGTGCCTGTCTGCACCAGCTCGCCGGAGTCTGTCCTCCGACTGAGCGGCGACGGGAAGACCGCGCGGTGACGCCTGCGAGGCTCCGGCACAGCATGGCGACGGTGCACTGATGTGGCCGCTGCTCTGGCGTTCAGCGGCGACGCTTGGGGGGCTCGTGGGTGCGCCGATGTATTACATGTGTTGTGCCTTTCCAATGATTGTCATTTGCTTTTCTCGCGTATTTTGTTTCTATTTGCACGTTGGCTGGGCAATTGATATTTGGGATAGGTTCTAGGGCACAGTCTTCTCTATGCTCCCGCATGCTTGTCGAGAGAGCGCTGTCGCCTTTGATGTCCTGTACTAGACATCGGTTGTGAATGATCTTAAAGACACTGTTTTCTAAAGAGGCGCGTATTTTGTGACGCTACAAGACGCGTGGGGGCCGGGAAGCTGAGAAGCAGTTTGTGGTCGATGACAGCAGCACCTGTGACGCTTGTCCAAACGTCCGTATGAGACCAACTTGTATGGTGAGGCGATCTCTGCGTTTGTTACATCGTGGTATGACCTGGCCAGACACGCAGAAGAGCGGCGTGCTTACGGCATGTCGATTTCGGCGATAGATGGATGTGCGCCGCGTGTGACGAGCTCGCTGCTTGTGGCCAGAGCAGACCTGCAGCAGCGCGTCCAGGCGTGACGCCGGGGCCGCCAGCGCGGCAAACTGGCCCCGCGCGCGCCTGCGGTGATGCGGGACGGCCCTCTCACGCCGCCGTCACTGCTCCAGGCCATCCTGTCCGTGCCCGAGCACGGCTGCGACCAACCGCTGCCGCCGCCGGCCTTCCTGGCCAAGCTGCAGTCGGTGCTGGCCACCTTCATGCCGTTGTTGGCCAACTACATCAAGAACGAGGAGTCTGAGTGGAGCTGCCTGCGGGCGCTCGAGGTCAGTCTTGTGGTCATGTGTAACCGCCACTGGTGGCAGACGGAGCCTGGGACGAGCCTTCGAGGTCAGTCTTGCCTGGCCTTCGACCTTCGGTACTGCACGCGTCAGGACTTCAGCCGCGGGCGGATGTGCTCGGCTGGAGACCGCGCTCTGTTGATGACCTCTAGATTCACTTGCTACACGCTTCTGTGAATTTAGCTGGCATGGAGGCACACAGCTATCTTGAACCTTCTGACAGGCTTCCCTTGTTCTGAAGCTGACTGTGTAGGCTGTAACTGTGGTACCGTGGCTGGCAGACGTTTAGCTGCGAGCACGCGGCGATGGCGGCCTGCTTGGCGAAGGTGCTGATGGTGCTGTACCAGAAGGACATCCTGTCCGAGACCACCATTCTGGCCTGGTACAACGAGTCGCAGGAGCTGACGCCGGAGGCGGTCCGCGTCCGGCAGCAGGTGAGAGCCGTCCGCCCGCGCTGGGTCTGGGTCAGAGGAGCGCGCCGGAGCGGCGGCGAAGTGTGCGGCGTGTGTTCAAAGGTCAACGCCGTTACAAGGTCGTGCAGAGAAGGGCGGCGCCCACCACGTGGCTTATGGGTCATTCCCGTCCGCTTCACTCTCGTGCTGGGTTTCACGGCCCGATGTCTTTGTGGCGAAACAGTGCGGCCAGCGACCTCTGACGGTGCGCTGTGACCCCAGGTGCGGCGTCTGGTGGAGTGGCTGGAGCAAGCCGACGAGGAATCAGAGGACGACTCGGGCAGCGACGACGACTGAGCCTGAACATCGCTTCTGCCAGTGTTAATCGGTGGTGTTGTTTTTACGAGGTGGATGGACGTACCAATAATACAGTGCCGTGGTGAAGCTAGTCTATTTCTTGGCCTTTCGGGCAGTCCCATAATTCACCCGGTCAGGTTACAGTCTCGACGCTCTCTGACTCATATACAAACCATTCGTCCGGAACTTAAGTATGTATTCTTCCACCGCCTTACCTCGTCAGTCTGCAGTGGGCCGCCGTCATGGTCCCTGCAGAGTAAGTGGCGGGCGGATCCGGGGCAGCGCCGCCCCGGGAGCGGTACGGGCCGGGTCCTGCGCCGCCCCGGGAGCGGTACGGGCCGGTCCTGCGCCGCTCGCCGCTGCGGCCGGTGGGCTCACGCGACCGAGGGCCATGCCCTCGCCACCTCCGGAGCCGGCCGAGCTGGGCGCCGCCCGCCGCCGCGGCCGGTCGGCTCACGCGACCGAGGGTCTTGCCCTCGCCACCTCCGGAGCCGGCCGAGCTGGGCGCCGCTCTAGGAGGTCCAGCGACCGAGCACGGCCCGCAGCAGTGGCACCACCCGGATCGACGACAGGTCAGCCAGCACCGCCTGGCGACGCGCGCATCCCGCTGTGACGTGTAAAATCGAATCGCTTCTGGATTGCGTCCTGGTCACAGAATACCTTACAAGCTTATTGTGCTGCCAGCTGAGGGGGTTCATTGCTGCGCATTGTTTGCGTAAAAAACCATACCACGCACTGAGCGCCGCTTGCTGATACCATCCAGAGTCGACCGTGACGGGTCCGTGGACCGGCCTGTACAGCCCCTTCTAGAGATGTGGGTCGGCCAGTACAGCCTCAACTGGAGCTGCCTTATGCGTTTTCGGATTTCCGCCGGTAATGGGCTCAAAAGTGATGCGTAGGCACACACTGTCATCACAAGGTGAGAAAGAGGCTTCATCCCCCCCCCCCCCCCGCTTCTGCAGATTTTAGCATTGCTCGTGTGACGTTGAGTTGATTAAAATAATAGAGCGCCTTAAAAACACTCTTGACAGCTCCCCAACGTCTGGCCGGTGGGGGCGCCGGGGGGTGTTGCCGGCAGTGCGGCGGCATCTCCGCCGCGGCGCCGGCATGACCATGGTCTGCCCGGCGACCGGCCCGCCGCTCGCGCACCTCCATCGTCGGCTGGTTGCTGGCGGCCAGCAGATTAGCGCGCCGGTACGCCAACACGGCGGCGGCCAGCAGGGCCAGCAGCTGCAGAGAGTCGTAGGCCAGCAGCATGTCCCACAGCTGGAGCAGCTGGTCCACGCTCAGGTAGCCGGAGAAGGCGCGCACCAGCCAGCGGAACACCAGGCGCAGTCTGCCGGCAAACGCGGACGGAGTTACAGGTCACGACAGAGCGGATGCCGAGGTCAGGGGAACTTCGACAGCTGGCCAGCTTCATGACTGGCGGTAGTGGGAAGGGAGGGGAGAGTAAACGGCCGTATGCGTGGGGAGAGGGGGTGGAGGTCAGCGGTGGTGTAGCATAGCGAACCTCGAGATTTGTGAGTCAAAACTTCGGAACCTACGAAGACACTGTCGGGTGGGGCGGGGGGGGGGGGGGGGTGGGGTGGAGACGTAGGGCGTCAGTGGAGCACAGCAGTGTATGTCGGACCAATGAGATGCAAGGCACTGTCTTCTAGTGCTGCGTTGCCTAGACCGGCTGAAGCCGAACCGTAACAGGAGGGCACAACTGGTCCGTCATTGGAGGTCAGGGCAGTCCCGACCATCGTGTCAGGGTTCCCTGACCTAGCAGACCAGTTCGCCGGGCCGCGCCCACTCACGGCTGAACCCGACACTGTCGGCAGTGCAGCCACAGCCTGGGCTCGTGCTCCCGCAGCAGGCGCTCCAGGAGCAGGCTGATCGACACAATGCCGTTGGGCCGGCTGGACAGCGAGTGCAGGAACACGAAGTAGCGCACGTAGAGCCGCTCGAAGGTGAACAGCAGCTCCACGGCGTCGCTGAACACGAAACAGAGCGGTGCCACTGGAACGGAGAAGCGTCGGGTCCGGTCAGGCCGAGCCGTCCGCGGCGCGGCGGACCGGTGATCTGACGGCGAAGTGCGCGGCCCATGGTGTAGGACTCCAGACGCGGCCTCTGTCGGGAGGGAAAGTTTCAGTAGCTTAAGCGGTATGTCAAAAGGTCGCACGCTCGGTATGGAGCCTTGGACGTGTAAACAGCAGCGGGATCTTCCGAAAGGTCTGTTGCGTGCTCTGCGAAAGGTCTCCTGCAGGCAAATCATAACATCCGCTGCCAGGCTGCTGGGACTGGATCTAGGCCAGATCTCCACGGTGACCGTTTGGGGTCTGGGGGATACCGGCGGCAGTGCATACCACCGGCCCTTTGCATTGTTCCAAGAGCAGAAATGGGGTTTGTCGGTGATTGAAGGGTAGCGTTAAAGAGCTGGTGTTTCAGTTCCGGACACTCAGCGCCCCCTATCCCCTCCCTCCTGCCCCACCCCACATCACTCACAGTACATAGAGAAGCCGTGGAAAGGCACGACGCCGCAGGGCGGGTAGGCGACGTGGTCGTCTGGCGACGCGCCGGCGGCGGCGGCGCGCGCCGGCTGCGCGGGCAGCGCCGCCAGCGCCGCCAGAGGCTCCGTGTGCCGCAGGAAGCGCAGCAGTGTGGCGCGCAGCTGCTCGGCGAACACGAAGTACTGGTCGTCGTTCCCGGCGGTGAGCTGGACGTCGCGCGCCACCAGACGGTCGGCCAGCAGGTCGTGCTTGTAGCACGGCCCGCTGCAGGTCACGGTAGCGCGCCCGGTGCTGCGGACGGCGAGGCCGTCAGAGCTCGCCTCCACCACACACCGCAGTTGGCTGCAGGCCGTGAAGTGTTGTGAGATCGTGAACCGTCCAGTTTTTTGACGTGCCTCCCCGGCAGCGCTACCATCATGCTCTAGGTGCTCCCATACTTTCCCGACACTGCCTGTCCCTGTCCGGTGGTGTCGGCACAGCTGTCCGGCGGCAGCGCGTCGCCTCTTTTGGGTGGTTTCCGCATCGGCGCCCAGTGCTATTTTCATCCCCGTCTGGCTAGCTGGGTCACCTTTTCCTCAATGCGGACGCCGAGAATCTGGCCCCAGATGCGGCCGCGCAGACTCTGCGGCACGCCCAGCTTGGCGAAGTCTCGGCTGACCGGAGCGTACTCCATGTCCAGCACTGGAACAGACCGGCGCCGGTCACCGAGCACGTGCGCGGGCTCGGACACGGGAACTGGTGATGCTGTGCAGTCCAGCCGCCGTCACCAAGTATGGACTCAGCTCTTGGGATCACCGAGGTTCCGGGCCATAGACACGACCCAAATCAGAAAGCAATCACGCACACCTTGGTCCACGCGCGTCGCAAAAACAACATCCAGTCGAAAGACTGCTATGACATCTGATGCGGATGTCACTGGTCATGGCCGTGATTTCCGGCGCACCTTTCTTGCCGACGGCCTCTCGAAACTGTCTGACGGTGACCTGGGGTCGGGTCGCGGCCGGCAACTCGGCAGACATGCTTAGATGCTGGAAGCGTGGGTTCCCCAGCTCCTCGAACTGCTGGCGCTGAAGCGGAGAAGAGGCGGCGTGGCATCAGGTCCCGTCAGTCAGCCGAAGCCAGCCAGTCCTGGGCTGTCAGCCATCCCGGCCGCGGACCGGGGCGTCATCAGTCGGCCAGCAGCGACGGCTGCGGGCGCTGGAAGGCTGGGCCGCACTTACAGCGACAGCCGTAACAGAGTCTGATGGCAATTGAACGCTGCCGGAGTGCTCCGCACGAACGTCTTGGGCTGAACACAAAACGGCGGCGAGACAGGAAAAGAAAATATGGATCGTGGTCGCAGAAAACAATCATATGTTGAAGCATTCAGGTCTCAACTTGGCAGCAGACTGGACAGAGACTCGCTAGATGGTTTTCAGCAGTGGAATCTTCAGCAACGCTCTCTACGCATTCGTCTCCAACGGCTGATGAAATAGGGTCCACATAACAAACAACGGTACTGAGGCATCAGTGACTAAGGTGACAGTGTCATACGAAAATAATAAACCCACAAGGCATGGCATGTGCGTGATGAGGTGCATTGCGTTGACGCTGCTAGGACCATACGTGGGTGGGCCGGACAGACACGTCAGCATCCAGTGACGAGGAGCCGTCTGTGGCGTCAAGACGGCGCTCAAGGCGGTGACCGAACCGCGGCAGGCCGCCGGCCCGGAGCCGACCAGCGCTACACAGCCGCAAAGTACGACAGAAAGCGGTGCTGCGGGTGTGAGGGCGGTGAGGGTCAACCTAAGGGTGGCCAGTCGGTCGACCCGAAGCAGCAGTCAGATAGAGACCGGGCAGAGCGTATTACGAGGTCGGCGAGATCCGGAATCGGCAGCGGCAGACGCACCATCCCGTACAGAAAGTCCCCGCTGAAACGAGCACGCCGACATGGTCACGGAAACCGGGCGCGCGCAGTGGCTATACACTGCAATATGCACGCAGAATGTTGGCTTTGAGATGGAGCCCTGTGGGAGGACCGTACATTGTGACAGTGCCTGGGTTATGGCGGCACGTTAGACCGTGGCGTTACGTTACGGCGCCGTGAGCCGAGCGAAAAGATGCGAAAGCGTCGTTTACGTCGCCCTGCGCTCGTTACGGATTGACAGTTGCATTGGTTACCTCAATGTTACGTCGTTCTAGAATGTAAAGTTGGGAAATAGGGTCGGTAGGTACATAGGGTCGGTAATAAAGCTGTGATGAGTCAATCGGCACTCTATTCGAGTGACCAAGTTGCGGTAATTTCAACGTCATTCAATTGGCCACCAAAGGAACGTGAAGTCAGTCGTTGGAATTGGATTAACCAGTGCAGATTACAAACGGCTCCTTCGTGATCATGACGGCAAAGGACAGCACTTGGATTCGATCATCACTTAGTAAGGAAACAGCCAGCCAATCGATATTTATCTCTGAACAACAGGCCGGTAAGTCAACTCAATCGTCGTTTGGTTTGTAAGTTCAGGTATGAACGGGGCGTCGAACAGGTTCAATCGTTACCCAGCTTGGACAGCAGGCCCCGACAAGGCCGATCGTTACTCGACCTGCATAATGCATTGGATGAAAAAGAATACCGTATAGAAATTGAGTTGATCAGTGCTGGTGAAAAACGATTGTCACTTCTTTGGGAGAAGAAAAAGAACAGCATTTAGGGAACAATTGTTGCTTAAATTGAATTGTACGACACGGCAAGTCAGTCGATAATTAACAGTCAAGTGATAGGGTGTGAGCTCAATCGGGTTTCAATGCGGCAGTGCGGGTTACAATGGGGCATCAAACAGATCCAATCGGTACCAAATTTAGACAAAAGTAACACGCAATTCATTACTCAACTTGGATGACAAGATCCGGACATGGGTACCACAGCGTCAAGTGAGTTGGATCGTTACACATACAATGTAATGCACATTTGCATGGCTAAGCAGAACAGGGTAGTGTAACTACGGTTGGTAGATAATAGATGTGGTTTATTCTAGCTGCAGTGGAATCAGTGCAGGGTACGAATGCACCAATTGACAAACAATAACACGACCCGAAGCCTACGATCGCGCCGGCCAAGCCTTACCAGTATGGCATGTAGTTGGGGCTTTCCACACGGGTCAGCACCTCCAGGAAGTCCTTGGGCGCGTACACCGGACGGAATTTGTCCAAGTCCTCTGAAAAAGTGCTCACATATGTTAACAGTGCTCACAGTGAGCTGCCCTCCGAAACGGTGCTCACATGTTTTATCGCCACTGCTATTTCCTTATGATCCAGAAGCAATGCACATTATTTTGGAAACATCGCGATCGTAGCATTGTGTCGGACTTCGCGCACGTCTGGATTCGGAGATGTCAGTGAGATTCGAGAGAGCAGCTCATTCCCCGGGCCGACTCTGGGAAAATTAGCGGGACATGGATGATATGACTGACCCGGGTCATCAGGCGTGGCCTCCTCCGGCCGGTCAGTCATCTTCTGCTGCTGTGCCGGCGGCCGCAGCCGGGCCAGGGGCACCGCCAGCTCGGAGCTCATGGCGTTCAGCGACTTGTACAGGCGTCGCTCCCAGGCCCGCTGCCGGCGCAGGCACGTCCCTTCAGCGCCCTGAGCCCGCCGTCGCTCAGGCAGCGGGTACGGCCGGACGCAAGCCCGGGTGTCAGGGGGCGGGGGGAGGGGGGGGGGGGCAAGTCGGCCGGCGCGGAGAGGGGAATGACCTAGCCCTCAGCGGTAAATGACACCTAGTGTGTCGTTTGCGATTCATGCACACGCACGCACGCACGCACGCACGGTCTGCCGAGCCACGTGTGCCTCCCGCAGCGCGAGGGTGGTCGTGACCCCGCTCCGGCCTGACCTGAGCGCGCCGGATGTAGTCGATTGGCTCTTGGATGGGCGATCGGCGGGTAGTCGGCCGGGTACATGAGGTCCGGGTGACTGAGCAACCGTCTGGTGCACCAAGTCTGCAGCTGGCGCTCGCAGTGGGACGAGCGCACCAGCGCCAGCAGCCGTTCCCGGTAATCACCGGCGCCGGTTAGCTCTGGGTGTGACGCCACCACCTTCTGCCGAGGTGCGCGCCCGTGCCTGTCAGTGTCCTCCGACGACCGGGGGCCGCGGCGGCAATCACAACGCCAGTGTCTCCGACGACCGTGGGCCGTGACGGTACACACCCAGTGGTCATCCGCGACCGGGGGCGCGGCGGGTACCACACGTCAGTGTCCTCCGACGACCGGGGGGCCGTGCGGCGGTACCACACGCCAGTGTCCTCCGACGACCGGGGGGCCGCCGACCCTGGTACCACACGTCAGTGTCCTCCGACGACCGGGGGCCGCGGCGGCATCACACGCCAGTGTCCTCCGACGACCGGGGGCCGCGGCGGCATCACACGCCAGTGTCCTCCGACGACCGGGGGCCGCGGCGGCACCAGACGCCGGCGTCCTCCGACGACCGGGGGCCGCGGCGGCATCACACCCCAGTGTCCTCCGACGACCGGGGGCCGTGGCGGCACCGCACGCCAGCGTCTGCGACTGAGCTCAATCGTCCCAAATGCGGCGAAATCGCTCAAGTCGGTGTGGACCCGAACCTCAAGGCATAACTTTTGAATAAGCTGGAGCACCCAGCACGAAACATCCTTTGCAAGAGACGGCAACGAAGCGAACAGGGGGTTTGAGCCCAGTGACCAAGACCGTCAGAGCGACGCGATTGGTGCGGTGCCGCGCCTGATCAGACGATCACTGTGACACGACGCTTGCGCCGATGGAAGATTAACATGGGAACGCTGACGCGTCTCGACCGCATGCCGTTCTACTGCTGGCACCGGTCAGTTCGCCGGTGACGTCAGGGTTTGCAGAGAATACCGGCCGGGGCAGTGGAAGCCGGGCGCGGAAGGCGGCTGTGAGTTGGCGGGTTCTATGTTTTTCTTTGCTCCCGTAGTAAAGCAAGTACGGATGGAACAGTCGACTACGATTTCTTATCGACAATTTCTATTTGGGGCGGGGCAACAAAGAAGAGGGAGCGGGCCAGAGGCAATAACCTCCTGAAACCTCGTACACAAGTTTTACATCTACCTCAAGGCGCATGAAATGAATTCAGCTATCCGTTTTTCCCCGCTCCCATCCCGACACAGCTCGCCAGTGAACGGCTGCTATATCAACTGTTACACGAGACTTTCCGTACCTCCAAGCTTGCAATCACAGATGCATACCCATCTTCTTTCTGCAGGTGATCCATCAGAACAGCGACATCGCGATTCATGGCAGATATATTTCGTAAGACCCGGTTACAGCCTGTGGGCGAATAGAATAGGGCGAAAAGTCTACCAGACATGGGAAAAAAGTCGGCGGTCCAGTGTCTAAAGTGCAGCCGGCCACAAACTTGGCTATCAGGCGACTAACATAAGCATAGGCATTTTGCACTTGCCACGGGTCAGTTCAGTCTTGGCCTTGGCAGGTGTATGGCAAGACGGTTTCGTAATCGTTTTAAATTGAATGAAGCTGTCTAGTAGAGGTGTAGTTTTTCAAAATGGGGACTGAACAATGAAAATTTACCCAAACTGCCCCCAAAATACGCCAACAGGCTTCTCCCCAGATTTGGCGCATTTTCTTCCCAAAGTTAGGGGGGACTGAGGCTAAAGAGGGAGGGGGAAGGGGGCTGAAGTCCCCGGTCCTCCCCCACTGCACAGGAAACTACACCCCAACACCCCTGCTGTCTCGACAGACGCCATTGAGATCGCCAACAGAATAAATCATTCGGAGGTCTTGCACCGACCGAGGCAAGGCCGGCAGAGGCGCGGTTGGGGATCGCAGTCATATCCTGTGTCAGTCCAAACAAGCTCGCAACGCAAGCCACGTCTGCCAAATGTCATGGGACGCCTGGCAAAATAGTTCTAGCAGAATGATATGTTGGCGTGGGCAGTAGGGGTCTTCAATATGATCAAGACTATTTGCATGGCCCAGCACTTACCGGTTGTAGACCAACATCCAAGCTGTCGCGGGTTTGGCCCGTCAACACTAAACGATGATCTCTTTAAATACTGTGCGTATGGGTTCAGAGCAGCAAGTGAAGCGCTCTCGACTGGATCGCTATCGTTCGGTAACGTAAAAGTGGAACTACGGTTGTGTGATCGATGCACCGCAAATGGTGGACGGGTTCGTGCTTCATGTATGGCTTAAGGCTGCACGATGGTGAGTTTTGGAGCTAGTCGAGATATAAAGTATGAGCATGTTTTTCGAAAATTTGACCATGTTAGCTAAATAATGCATTTCGTCCATCTAGTTTACAGCCCTGTGCAATTCCCCCCTCCAGACAGCTGTTCAGCAAAGTGAAAAGTTTGTACAACACAACACCGTGGGTATAATGTAAAATTTCGTAAAAAGTAACATGGAGCGTCTCCTCCACTTAGGTGATAACGATACCAGCGTTCAAGAGTCTCCAGGGAATCATCGCCGAAAGGACGCTTACCGCATGGACTTCAGACACCGCGATCGATTTTTGGCGCGCCAAAGCTAAAAGCTAATATGGAATCTTTTAGTACTTCCAAAAATGGCGCGCCTATTACATAAAACGTGCAGGCGGTTTCATTGCCATGGTGGCTGGCCTCGGATGCCCAATAACCTCGCAGAGTGCGAGAAGGGTTCGAGGAAGGAAAGAGCGTAGCACTTTGCCGCGTCTCAAGGTTTTGATAGCCGGTTGGTTAGTATTTTGGCTTCCTTCAAAAATAGTACCTGCAATGGCAGATTGTGGGGAAATGTTTGTTTTATTTTTTGTGTTAGCAATGACATTTTTCATGGAGCTTATAACTTGTTTATGGTGGCACACATGCGCAACTGTTTCACTACCTTTCCCTTGGCTCATATGAGTATTCGAGTAAGTTTGAATGCAAAGCTCCAAATAACATTAAAGCACTAAACAGGACTATTTTCATGCCATAATACTGTGGTCCAAGAGACAAAGGAAATGTTCAATGTGTTGTTCACTGAGCAATACATTGAACTGAGCAATACATTGAGAAATGGGGTAGTATCACAAAAGCCAGACATGCTTGGCTGTCAGATGTTATTTGCTCACACTACTGCATATGAAGTAATGAATGGGCAATGAACGGGTCTCAGGGTAGGCAAGGATGTGAATTGATTAAGATTGGGGAAACATATTCTTGCCATGGTCAGTGTTGGGGTCTGTTCTGTGCATTATTACTTTTTTGCAGCATGTTTTGTGGGAATTGATCCCATTGGTGCAATCTAGGCAGCTATTTGTGTCAATGTGGTATGTGTTGGCAGCAGCTAGATTCATCATTATATGTGAAATAATACTCAACCCCAAAAGCTGACACCAACTAAATTAGCTTATTCTCTCTTAGTGCCTCATCACAGACATTCAAAAGTGGTATTGACAATAGTCCTTAATGCTATGTGCTAGCATGGCTACTGTATGATAAGGTATGTAGGAAATGGAAATGATTTGTATTAGTTTTAGGATGAGATAGCCAAAATTGCTTATTCACATTTTTAATTTTTTAATCCATTATTACCATTAGTAGGTCATGACAGGGTGTGCTTGCTAGCCTGTGTGTAGTAACAGGTCATACAATTTGTGTCATTGGACTTGGGACACAATAGGCTATAAAACATTAGGCCCCAAGATCATCTTATGGAGGCTGAATGATAATTCTGCCATATTCACTGCCACTGCTTTAGCACATGCAGTTTCAAAGTATGTTTGCCAGTATGTATTTTAGCTAGATGCCATCATAACCATCATTTCGTAGGGTGCACAACAAAATAAAATATGATCCAGCCCATAGACCCAAGTCTACCAAAAATATATGCACTGCGCTGGATGCATATACAGGCAGATCCAGCAGGGGACCATATTTCCAATACTCACCAATACATCTCACCATAATCAGGCCTTACTGTAAGAGACTGAAGCTCTATTACCCTTTGCATTGCTGGATGGTGGGATTTGTAGGCCTAGTGTTCATTACTTAAAAGAACACTACTGCATATTAGTATGGTTTGTATGTTATGACAGTTAAAACATCCAAAAATCTTTCAGCATTCTTTTGTAAGTTAGGCACACAAACCTAGTTATTGCATAATGTTTGTTTCTACAAGGTGAACAGCTTATCACTATCTCATGGACCATACTTGTATCAAGAAATGAAATGAATATGAAAAGGACTGAAGCCATATTTCATCCACTTTTACACTACAAATGACACCATATGCTTATGTCAGAACTGCCCACTGTTTCAGGCCACTGTGGGAAAGTCTAAAAATGCCCCCAAAACGGAAGAATCGGAAGAAAGAGAAACCACCATTATCCGTGCAAGGTCTTCTGCATCTAGAGGCCTCGTTCGTTTCGCCCAAGGACGTGGACGTGGTGCTGGCCACCGTGACACCCGGCTCTTCATACGGCTACGGAGACGGCGCTGGACACGTGCCGGAGCCGGCTGAGCAGACGGCGGCGCCGACCGGGCCTGGCGGGGACGGGAAAGGGAACGGGAACGGGAACGGGACTGGGACTGGGACTGGGACTGGGACTGGGACTGGGACCGGGTCGGCCGGGCCCGCCGCCGAGCTGCCAGCCGAGTATGGCGGCCCGCTGCGACCGGCGGACGTGTCCGAGCTGCTGCGAGACTACCCAACCGTAGACACGCCGCTGCCAGAACCGGTGGCGCTGCTTCCGCCGGACCTTGACGACCCGGACCAGTACGAGCCGCCCGAGTTTGCCGCCGGCGGGGACGCGACAGCGACGGATACGAGCGCGACGGACGCGACAGAGGGCGCGACGGAGGCGACAGAGGGCGCGACGGGACTGGATCCAGGTGCCGATTCCCGGCCGGTGGGAGGCACCGCTGCGCGAAGCGTGCCGAGCCACACGTCTGCAGCGGAGGGCGGTGGGCCGACCGCAGCGGGTGCCAGTCCCGTGACGGAACGGCGCGCGATCAGGGAGTCGCTGGCGAACTCTGCGGATGATGCGGCTCAGCCACGGGCGGCCGGAGGGGAGGAGGCGGCCACGTGTGTGCAGGATGAGCCAGCCGCATCTTCCGCGGCGCCCAGTCATGCCACGGACTCGGCGGATGCTCAGCCCCCGCCCGGTGGCGAGTTTACAGACCGCGAGGCGTCTACCAAGGCGACTGTGTCTCACGTGGTGGGCGAGAGAGCTATGGACGCACAGGATAGCTTTGCCCCTCCGTTTCCGGTGTTAAGTCAGCGGTTGGATGCTGTCCAGGCCCCGCTAGTTCCCTGCCCAGTACGGACTCGCCACCCTGTGGCGAACCACGGTGATGGGGTTGAAGCCTGTGACTTTCCAGTGACCACTGAAATGGCGCCGGCCGCTGAACCCCCCGCTGAAGCCCGGGCTCAGGGGCGGTGCGGTGTCGCTGACGCGGCCTCGACTTCGGCGCCCTCTGCCGCCCCTGCCGTCCCAGGGCCTGCACCGTCACCGGCACCTGCCGCGTGTGCCGCCGGCGGGACTGACACGGAGCCACTGCCACCTCCCACCACGGCAGCGGATGCCGCCGGTGGGACTGACACGGAGCCACTGCCACCTCCCACCACGGCAGCGGATGCCGCCGGCGGGACCGGCACGGAGCCACTGCCACCTCCCACCACAGCAGCGGATGCCGCCGGCGGGACTGACACGGAGCCACTGTCACTTCCCACCACGGCAGTGGATGCCGCCGGCGGGACCGGCACGGAGCCACTGTCATTTCCCACCACGGCAGCGGATGCCGCCGGCGGCAGCGGTGCCGGGCCGGCGCGCACCGAGAGGATCGCGTGCGCGGCAGACTTGTTGTCGGAGCAGTGTGTCGGGCCGACGGACGGCATGCTCGAACACTACTGGCAGTTTGTCCGCGAGAACCCGTACGACTTCAACGGCTGGACCTACCTTCTGCAGCATGTGGAGAAACAGGTGGGTGTGGAGAGGGCTGGAGAAACAGGTGGGTGTGGAGAGGGCTGGAGAAACTGGAGAAACAGGTGGGTGTGGGGAGGGGGGGGGGGGGGGGGGGGGGGGAGGGTGGAGACATTGGGCGTGAAGTGCTGGTTTCCCGGTGTTACAACCGTGTCATTGCTACCAACCTTTCGAATAAAAGATGTAATGAGTTGTCTGGATGGTCGATCCCGAATAAAGTGTGATTGAAATGGTTTCGCTCTAACTGCACTGCTTGATAGATGCATCCACCATATATGTTTTATCTTCGCTCGTCCTGTTCTGTTGGATGGGCTGTTTGCCAAGCATTTTTTCCGGCCGCAAATCGTTTCCTGGCGGTTGATACCCAGGGTACATTCAACATGTAACACGATTATTAGATTGAATGAACTAAGGGATTCGTGTAAGTTGTAATTTCCTGCATTTGTTTTGGTTTTTGGTTTGGGTTTCAGAAGACGTAAATTGGCTTACGCTGTTTTTTGGGGGTGGGTGGGTGGGGCTGTTGTGAGGAGATCCAAACCAACTCATGCTTGAATCCACGTGCGCCAGTGTCTCTTTCATACCGTGAGAACTGAAAAGATCGTGGTGTTTCAGACCAACCTGGACGCCATCCGAGGGCGTTTACAACGCATTTCTGCCGCTGTATCCGTACTGTTACGCTTACTGGAAGAAGTACCGCCGACCTGGAGCAGCGGAGCGGCTACACTGAGAGGTGAGCCAGTGCCTGAGCTCCGTGGCGACGGGCCGGGCGCCGCGCGATCCCCGTGTGTGGACCTGTGTGACGTCCACCCGATCGTCTCTGGCAGGCGGGGCAGACGGGCAGACGGGCAGACAGGCAGACAGGCAGACAGGCAGACAGGCAGACAGGCAGACAGGCAGACAGGCAGACAGGCAGACAGGCGGGCAGGCGAGCACTGTATGACCGCAGTTTCGGCCTCGGACCTCCTCAAGCGGCGTGGTCGGGTTTCAGGTCTCTGCAGATCCTAGAGCGAGCCGTCAAGGCGATCCCGCTGTCGATCGAGCTGTGGATGGCCCTGCTGAACCAGTTTCGCGACTCGGTGAAGGGCCAGAAGACAGCGGAGGAGCAGACTCGAGCGTGAGTGGTGTCCGAGGCCGAGGCGCCGGCTACCGCCTGGACCGCTGCTGGCTATGGCGATACGATGGTGCATTCCAACAGCCGTGTCTGGCATGCTTTATTGTACTAACTGCAATGTATTGCGTAATATGTTTCAAGAAGGGGAAGGGTAACGCTTGTGTTGCCACGCTGCCCAGCTGTCGGTCCACACGCCCGACTGCAGCTGACGTCATGTGGTGCCACGCTGCCCAGCTATTGGTCCTCACACCCGACTACAACTGACGTCATGTGGCGCCACGCTGCCCAGCTATTGGTCCTCACACCCGACTGCAACTGACGTCATATGTTGCCACGCCGCTCAGCTATTGGTTGTCCGTCGGTCCGTTCACACGTCTGACATGTGCCGGCAGCATTTGTGAGCGGGCCGTCCGATGTGCCGGCGCCCAGTTCAGGTCCGACGCCCTCTGGGAATGCTTTATCCAGTGGGAATCCACTCATGGGGCCATGAGCAACGTCACCGCCGTCTACCGGCGCCTACTGAAAATACCCACTCGCTTGTACAACCGGCACTGGGACGAGTAAGTAGCTCATGTACGACATATTTTCCCTTAAGTTACGAATTCAGAACCTTTTTTAACTAAGCTGTCTTCTTTCTTTTTTAAGCACACATTAACGCGTGCATTCGTTGCAACGTGAGGCCTGTTCCATACAGACCTGGTGCCTAATTTTGCCTTGGGAGCAAAAAATAATTGCACGCTTACAGTCTTGTCAGGCCGGCATTTGAAAATTTGCCGTGAAAATTGCAAAAGGCGAGTGTATTCTGTGCTCCTCTAGACATGGGACGAAGCAGAGGGCTAGACCCGCGAATTGTCGGCCCCAAACCGTGGCTGGGTACAGACTGCAGTGAGGAGGGAGATGAGAGATGGGAGATGGAAGCACCTGCGCCTGTGTGCTCGGTGCTCGTTGTCGAGGCCGCTCCGTCCACCTGTGCCGCCAGTTTCCTGCAGCACGTGCGGGACCATCACCCGCGTGACATCCTGGAGCGTGAAGAGTACGTGGCGCTGCGTCGCGCGTGCTGTCTCGAGCTGGGCGTGACGTACCGTGAGGAGTCCGCCTCTCCGCTCGCCGACCCTGCCAAGGTGATCACGGTAGGCGGGCGACGGGCGGCCAATACGCTGGGAGGCGGGGGTACTGACGTCATTTTCCTGGCGTGAGTCTCGTCTTATCTCACCCTAGAGATCTCGCTGGTCCTGCATTTACCATGGTTTGGTGACGCCAATGGCCGGGGCGTTTGCAGTGGTTGGTAAACAGGCTAATGGTGAGCCAACAGATACTCAGGCTCTGATCCGCAGCCAGACGAAGGTCTTGTGCACCACGGCGTCTCTGTATTACGTTGTGGTTGGTTGACCAGACGAACGTAACTGGACGCTCTTTCCATACCGTTAGATCCGGCAGCCCGAGGTGAAGCTTGTCAGTGCTATCAAGGAGAAACTGGTGGCCTCCTTGGTCGCCATTCACGAGAAAACGGAGAAGAAGGCCGAGAAACGCTGGAAGTTGGAGGAAAAGGTAGGCCAGGAGGCCTCAACTCCAAGGCGATAAGATCTACCGACAGGGTGACGTGATAGCTGTCGGCTGGCAGAAGGCACAGTAGAAGGCTTCTGCACAAATCAATGGGGAATAGAATGTTTCATCGTTGTATGGGCAGGGTTTTGCACTGAGCTGGCTGAGTTAGGTTGATAGAAGCGCTGCGTGATGGAATGGTTTACACCATGGCATGGGCTTCTCTGTCATTTAGAACATTTAGATGGCCTTGTCCCGCGATGCGTAAATGACGCTGCGGCTAACGACGTCAAGCGTGCATTTATCAAAGAAAAAGGGGGATAATCACCTTGCAGGCTCGCCTCTCCCACTGTTATTAACAGTATGACTGATGTCATGGCGGCAGTTTGTGTGACCGAATCGCTTGAACAGTATCAATAGTTTTCCATGGTCAAGGTGGTTATCTGTCCACCAAGAATGTCACACTTTGCATCCACGTGCATCCAAACAGATGACCATTTGCTTGGCCGTGGCGATTTTTCCTGGCGCTGGCAGTCTGTCGCTGACCGTCTCGGCGTCACTCCGCCCTGTCACGGCTTGCGCCTGACCCTGTTCTGTGCGTTGCGCGTGATGGACTGTGTGTTCTTCGGCAGATTAAGCGGCCCTACTTCCACGTGATCGCGCTGGACCGGCGTCAGCTGCGCGCCTGGCGCGACTACCTGGAGCTGGAAGCGGCCGACGGTGACCACGACTCGCTGGTCATGTTGTACGAGCGCTGCCTGATCGCGTGCGCCCAGTATGAGGAGTTCTGGCTGCAGTATGCCCGCTACCTGGAGCGTCGGCTGCAGTCGGTGCCGTCGCCGTCGGCCGCTGATGATGCGGCCATGCGGCGCCTGCTGGAGGCCGACCGGGCCGGCGGCGGCGGCGCCCAGTACGAAACAGAGTCGCGCCGTCTTCCCGAGGAACGGTCGCACGTGGCGGCCGGCTACGCGGCGCGTGCCAACCCAGCCGACGCTGTGCGTGAGGTGTACAAGCGTGCCTGCCTGGTGCACTGCCCGACGCGGCCCAATATTCGCCTGCAGTGGGCGGCGTTTGAGGAGAGCATCGGTGAGCGAGCGGCCGCCGGCGCGGCGCGCGCTGACCACGGACGCTGCCGGCGGACTGCGCCAGTGCCCGTCGGCTCTCGTGCTGCGGTGTTCCGTCGGAATACCATTGCTTTGAGAGCAAATCAATCGCGTTTAACCTCGAAATGGCCAGAATAGTAACGCCTTTCATCATGTGCCCGTAATTTGTGTCGCGTAGGCTGGGCTGGATGGACATATCCAAGGATAAACTTTAAAAAATGCTCACAGAACAGAATGACCGAAGTTGTCGTTTAACAAACTCATTGCTGTGTTCACGTCTCCCCAATGATCTCTGAATATTGCGGTTTTTTGGCCAGTTGACCGAATGCCTTCGTGACACGTTGTATTCAGTTCACCATGCCAGGATAGACTGGGAATTGGCCGACCTCTCTGTAGCGCTCGCACCGAGCCGTACTTCACCGCCAGCGTGTGCCCAGCACTAACGCCGCGGTCTGATTTCAGAGCTCAGCCGCCGTCGCCGGCTCGCCGGAGCGTAGTGTGTGTGACGTGTGTGTACCGCTGGTGACGCGAGTGGTGTGTATATGCCGCCGGCCGCCGCCGTAACTCTGCGCCTGCCCACTCGGTGGCTGAGTGCTTGGACCGGCCCGGCCGGAGGGCGACGCGGTGCGGTGCCGGAAACATGATTTGGGAGCTAAAACATTGCTGAACGGATGAAATGCGGCCGCCTCACAACTTCTGTGCCGCTTTAGGAACCGCGGTTTCAAAGGAAGGATATTGCTTGAAATTTTAAGAAGTGTGCTAACCATGTTCACTTTTCTCGTTAAATAACACGTTGGTTATATCACGCCTTGTTAGAGCTCAAAGGTCATCACGTTTGCGTCTGTTTCTGGAGCCGCATGCTCAAAACAAGTTACTCTCGACTGGGAACGGCAACCAAAGGCTTAAACCATGTTTAACTGATCGCATCTCCTCATTCCGGACGAACCCGGCTTGCTGTACGCCCTCGAGTGCCCACCGGCTGAAGCTCCGCCGGCCGGGCCGTCCGTTGGCCCAAGCACTCCGCGGGCGCGGCGTTACCGCTGCCTGCGTGTCTCCGTCTCTCCGCTCCGCCTGCCGCCCCGGCCGCTCCCACCGCCCGCTGACCCGCTGTCGGCCAGCAGGCAACGTGGGCACGGCGCTGCAGCTGCTGGGCCAGGTGGTGGCCAGCTTCCCGACAGCGGTGCGGCCGCGGCTGCTGCTGATCGGGCTGGAGCGGCGCCGCGGCCGGCCGGACGAGTGCAGCCGGCTGTACCAGGCGGCCGCCGACGCCGCGCCCGCCCACCTCGCCACGTGGTGGGCCATGAAGCACGCCCGCTTCTGCTTCAAGGTTGGTGGGATGCGCCACCCGCTCGGAAAGCCCACTGAAGGCACTGACTGCCAGCCGGAACGCTGGGAGCGCCGGCCTGAGATGGGGTCTGCGCTAGCCAAAGATCCGGGGCCAGTTGTGATATAGCGCCGGCATGGGATGGGGTCTGCGCTAGCCAAAGATCCGGGGCCAGTTGTGATATAACGGTGACGTGGGGTGTTCCTGTTGGGCGGGGAAGGCCACTGTGAGCATTTCTCCGTTTACGTAGTGTGCTTACACAGACGTGTTTGAAAGGACCGGCGTCGTGTTGGGGCGCCAGTGGTGCGGGAGTCCAGCTGTGCTGGGCTCGGGTTTCAGAACGTGTGTGGCCACTCGCTGACCTACTGAGTCTAGCCGGCTGCCGCGCGGACTGGACCAGTCAGCGCGGCCTGGTCTCAGCTCTGTACGGCACGACCGGATGCCTCCGAGGTCTCCTTTGCCCAGACGCCGAATCAAATTATTCGTTCAAACTGGCTTATGCTACCCGGCTGATTAAAGGAAAGTACGCAACAAACGCCGTCTAACGTGGTCTGTGCATTCCATGCTATCCTTACATTCATTTGGGCGTCTGCAGAGCATCATTTTGATGAAGCTGAGGAACGCTGAAACATATTAAACCAGACATCATCAGTCAGTTTTGTTTCATGCGGTGCGGAATTCACGGTTTACTACAGCACACGATCGGCTGGCATTGCATGGGTTACGTGTGATGTGCTGCCGCCTGTGTGTCGTGTTAAAACTTGGTGAAGGATTTCTTGCGCCCGTGGGTGTACAATGGCAGCACGCGGGCACCCTCAAGTACCAGTTTTATAGGCAAACGGGCGTGCGCTGAATCGTTCTTCACCAGCTGTGGTTGGCTGTAATAGCCTGAAACATATCCGAACCTCCCACACAGATTCATGGCACACACGGGTCGTTTCTGTTATTTCCTGGCCCGTTTCAGCAGCGCAGTGGTGTTGCCGGCAAATTCTGAACAAGCCGGACAAGGCTCTGAGAATTCCCATCCCGTATGAGCAGCGTAGTGGTGTTGTTAGCAGATTCTGAACAAGCCGGAAAAGGCTCTGAGAATTCCTATCCCGTATGAGCAGCGTAGTGGTGTTGTTGGCAGATTCTGAACAAGCCGGGCAAGGCTCTGGGAATTCCTATCCCATATGAGCAGCGTAGTGGTGTTGTTGGCAGATTCTGAACAAGCCGGACAAGGCTCTGGGAATTCTGCGGACGGCCGTCAAGCGGGACCGCTCCAACCCGCGTCTGTACCTGCACATCCTGGACGTGTGCTACCAGCGCCACCCGGTGGACGTGAGGTGAGTCTCTGTCGCTCTCGGCCGGGCAGGGGGCGTCAGAGGCGCCGGCGCGCCGCTGCCTCCGCTTGTGTTACGCCGAACTAGGACCTTTTCTGGCTAGAAAACTGAACCTGTTGGGTTGCTGAGTTCCCTGAAGTCTGCGTTTGCGTGTACATTTTCGTCGTGGTTGTGTGGCGAACCGTCGTGAAGTCCACCACCTCTTGTGTGGTAGTCAAAGGTGGGCTGTGGCAGTGCCTGGTTGGTATTTTCTCCGCCAGGGGCGTGACGGCGGCGCTGACGCTGGCACTCAACAGCAAGGACGTGTCGGCGCGTGACAAGCTCGGTTTCCGGCGCAAGAAGGTGGAGTTCTTCGAGGAGTTCGGCTCGTTGCGCCAGCTGCGCGAGGCCGAGGACGAACTGGAGACGGCCGAGCGCGTGCTGGCCGCCACCGAGCGCAAGCAGGCGCGCCAGCAGGGACAGGACGCGCAGGAGCAGGAGCCGGAGCAGGAGGACGCTGGGGGCGCGGCCGGCCGGCCCGTCGCCAAGCGGCGGCGGAAGGTCGAGATGGAGCCGACGCCGCCGCCACCGCTGCCGAATGGTGCCGTCACGCCGCCCGGTGGGTGTGTGCTGGTCCGGCGGCGCCAGCCACTGGCGGTGCGCCGTCTCAGCCGTGTAGCCGCCTTCTTTGCACGTGCTCGATAGGCCTTTTGGTGGAATCTGGCTGGTGGTGAGGGGTGGTCGACGGTAACACACGGTTGGCTTGCGGGGGTGTCTGACTCCCGTCTGTTTTGTTCTGAATGTAATCAGCGTTTTCCGGCGTGACCAAGAGACAAGATAGGTAGCTTACGCCAGGCTGCCGTGTTTGATGCAGTGCAAGGTATCTAGCAGCGTTTTGGAGTTCCTGCAGTAAAAAAAAAACCTTCAAGTGTTGCTCGACGCCGTGCAGACCTCTTCAAAAAGTGATGAAAATTGGAGCACAACTTAAAAACGCCTGTCATCGCTGCGCAGGGGGGGGGGGGGGGGGGGCAGTGCTCCGTTGGTCAGTGGTCTTGAGGCGTCCACATGCTCCTGCAGCGGGCCGCGTCCGGCGCCGCCCAGTGCTGTCCGAAGTGCGGCTGGGACGGCTCCGAGCCGCAGACGCCGGCTGGCCAGCGGCCGCCGGCGCCGGCAGCGCTTCAGCCGTCCTCCTACGGCCAGGTGCCCCCCACCTGGGACCTCACCATGAAGACGGACGCCTGCGGGTCAGTCGTGCGCCCGGATCGGCACGTCTGGCGGCGCCAGCGTTCCTGTACTTGTTGCCATGATCGATGGAGCTATCTGTCGGCTGTGAACGGCGAGCCGGTGTGGTGAGGGTGCTGCCAGTGGACCGCCTGTTCCGCTGAAATGGCCGTGACAGTGCGTGCCGCCCGGCGTTGCTCTGCGCCGTGTCCGTCACATTGCACCCCAGGCCCAGTCGCCGACCCTGACCGTGTCACGTGCCGCCGCAGGTACGGCAAAGACCCGCAGTACAAGTGGTTCCAGGAGCAGGGCTACCGCGACTACGACGCGCGCGAGGCCGGCGGCTACCCGACCACGCTGCTCGATCCCGTGTCGTCTGACGAGGAGGCGCTGAGCGGGCCGCCGCCGCCGCCGCCGGCCAAGCGGCCGCGGCCCGACGACGGCCAGACGCCACACATCGTCACCAAGGACGGACGACGGTGAGCGGCCGGCCGGGTCCCGACGACCCACGGAGAGCGGCCGGCCGGGTCCCGACGACCCACGGAGAGCGGCCGGGCGGGTCCCGACGACCCACGGAGAGCGGCCGGCCGGGTCCCGACGGCCCACGGAGAGCGGCCGGGCGGGTCCCGACGACCCACGGAGAGCGGCCGGGCGGGTCCCGACGACCCACGGAGAGCGGCCGGCCGGATCCCGACGACCCACGGAGAGCGGCCGGGCGGGTCCCGACGACCCACGGAGAGCGGCCGGGCGGGTCCCGACGGCCCACGGAGAGCGGCCGGGCGGGTCCCGACGACCCACGGAGAGCGGCCGGCCGGGTCCCGACGGCCCACGAAGAGCGGTCGGGCGGGCCCCCACGACCCACGGAGAGCGGCCGGCCGGGTCCCGACGGCCCACGGAGAACGGTCGGACGGGTCCCCACGACCCACGGAGAGCGGCCGGCTGGGCCTCAACGACCCACGGAGAGCGGCCGGGCGGATCCCGCGACCCACGGAGAGCGGTCGGGCGGATCCCGCGACCCAGGGAGAGCGGCTGGCCGGGTCCCGACGGCCCACGGAGAGCGGTCGGGCGGGTCTCCACGGCCCACGGAGAGCGTGCCAACGGGCCAGAGCGGTGGCTATTTAGAGATTGAAAACGTGCGGAAGGCGATGTGTATTGCAGTGCTGTCGTGCTCCGGAGTCACAAACTGACAGTTTCAAGTGGTTTTCTGGTCGTTTGCTTAGCTCCTGTTATGTTTTGAATACCTTGTCTGTTATCGTGGCGGCCACTCACGTCCTCCCTCTGGTGTTTGCTATTGGCTCGGGACTTGGCCTGCGTCGATGTACCAGGTTACGGTGCCACTGCGGCTGCTCCGTGAGTCGTCTGGTTAGCAGTCCCCCTCTGTGACCCGGCTGTTGGTCACCAGTCCCCCCTCTGTGACCCGGCTGTTGGTCACCAGTCCTCTGTGACCCGGCTGTTGGTCACCAGTCCCCGGATCCGTTGGCATCCGGATCCGTCACCAGTCTCCCTCTGTGACTCAGCTGTTGGTCGCCAGTCCTCTGTGACCCACCTGTTGATCATTAGTCCTTCTCTGTGACCCGGCCGTTGGTCATCAGTCCCCGTCTGTGACCCGGCTGTTGGTCATCAGTCCCCGTCTGTGACCTGGCTGTTGGTCATCAGTCCCCGTCTGTGACCTGGCTGTTGGTCATCAGTCCCCGTCTGTGACCCGGCTGTTGGTCATCAGTCCCCGTCTGTGACCCGGCCGTTGGTCATCAGTCCCCGTCTGTGACCCGGCTGTTGGTCATCAGTCCCCGTCTGTGACCCGGCTGTTGGTCATCAGTCCCCGTCTGTGACCCGGCCGTTGGTCATCAGTCCCCGTCTGTGACCCGGCTGTTGGTCATCAGTCCCCGTCTGTGACCCGGCTGTTGGTCATCAGTCCCCGTCTGTGACCCGGCTGTTGGTCATCAGTCCCCGTCTGTGACCCGGCTGTTGGTCATCAGTCCCCGTCTGTGACCCGGCCGTTGGTCATCAGTCCCCGTCTGTGACCCGGCTGTTGGTCATCAGTCCCCGTCTGTGACCCGGCTGTTGGTCATCAGTCCCCGTCTGTGACCCGGCTGTTGGTCATCAGTCCCCGTCTGTGACCCGGCTGTTGGTCATCAGTCCCCGTCTGTGACCCGGCCGTTGGTCATCAGTCCCCGTCTGTGACCCGGCTGTTGGTCATCAGTCCCCGTCTGTGACCCGGCCGTTGGTCATCAGTCCCCGTCTGTGACCCAGCTGTTGGTCATCAGTCCCCGTCTGTGACCCAGCTGTTGGTCATCAGTCCCCGTCTGTGACCCGGCTGTTGGTCATCAGTCCCCGTCTGTGACCCGGCCGTTGGTCATCAGTCCCCGTCTGTGACCCGGCTGTTGGTCATCAGTCCCCGTCTGTGACCCGGCTGTTGGTCATCAGTCCCCGTCTGTGACCCGGCTGTTGGTCATCAGTCCTCTGTGGCCCGGCTGTTGGTCATCAGTCCCCGTCTGTGGCCCGGCTGTTGGTCATCAGTCCTCTGTGGCCCGGCTGTTGGTCACCAGTCCTCTGTGGCCCGGCTGTTGGTCACCAGTCCTCTGTGGCCCGGCTGTTGGTCACCAGTCCCCGGATCCGTTGGCAGAGTGCCGCGGTACGTGATCCCGCCTCAGGCGCCGCCTCTGCGGCCGCTGATGCAGCCGCTGGTGCTGCAGCCGACCGAGGCGCCTGGCCGGCAGGAGCCCCGGCGACCGCCCCAGGTACGGACTGACGACCCTGGCACCGACTGATGGCTGAGGTACTCACCGGCTACCCGGATACAGGCCGACGCCCGGGCACTCACTGATAACCGGGGTACTGACACGCGACCTGGGTCTGACCGTCGACCCAGGCACTGATCGCCGATCCCGTTGCTGACCACCGCTCACCATCACGCCGTGTTGCCGTCCACGGCGGCTCTCCGGCTCGCCGGTGCCAGCTGTGCGTGATGTCAGACGGCCCGCGCAGCGTGAGGTGGGCTCAGATCTCAGTCTTGACCCATATTGCGAACCGCTGGTGATAATGCGACCAACAAACGCCATACCCAGCGCAATCGCTCGACGCGCCTTGAACGTGTCACCTGGCGTGAGGTGTTCGCGTGGCCGCGTGCTGACCGTCGCCCGGCGCGTCCAGTTGGCGCGCTTGCGGCCGCCACCACCGCCGCCACCGCCAGCGCAGGAGACGGGCGCCTCGTGTGTGAACGTGCCTGAGTGGCTGGTGCGCGAGGGCGGCGAGCTGTGCCTCTCCGAGACGGACGGCGGTGTGTCGCTGATTCGGTACTGGCCCCGCTTCATGAACGACTGCGGTGTCCAGGTGAGCGCTGCGCCCGCGCCCGCGTCCGCGCCTTCCGGCACGCGTGGGTGTGTGGGGAGGACAGGGGGAGGGGGAGAGGTGCGAGGGCGGTGTTTCGGACTTGAGAATGAGAACATCCTGCGCCCAGCGTGTTATGTTGTCCTTAGCACAACCGATTGCGTGACGGGTCGGGCGCCAATGGCCATGGCCGTTCGTTTAAGGGCGCGTAAGTGGGCGGGCTGTGGTGGGGACCTCATAACGGACTCACTGGTCACGGCTATCTTACAGGAGAGACAAAGTTACTTCGACAACCTTTGCAAAATTTTGATTTTTGGACGTCAAACGTCGCAGAAATTCAGGAATCCTCACACGTATTCGTTCACATCTATTGGCGCATTTATTCACGTACCTATTTCAAATAACGTTGCCGGAAAGGGCTGTTGGAAGCCCTGCCCATGTTAGCTGACGGAGTGAGTTAATTTTTATCTTTTTACTTGTGCATCTACTGTGAGAGCGGTATCGAGAAAACAAATTTTTGTGAGGGCATGGTCACGGCTGATCCGACAACATCCCTGTATGATTTTGGTGGTCCAATTGCTCCCTGCGTAAGCCAAGTGACTGCCACTCAGAACTGGTTTTTAGAACGTTTCATTCGTCGCTTCCTTATCGATTACTCGTGTTCCTGGTCTAGGGTAGAGTTAGCTAGCTGATTCGAGGTGTTACAGTCCCGTACACAATGCACTCTGTTCTTTGTCTATATGCCCTGGTTGGCATGATCCAACGTCAATTCTCGAAGAACTGTAAACTGGCAGCTGCATGGCCGGCTCCCAAACGCTCGTGACATGCTGCACTGAGCGGTACACGGTCGTGGGGCACGATTGTCCGTTCTTTTCGCAGGCAAATCGGGATGGCTCCACATTGTCGCGGCCCAGGTTACTCAGGCCTTGGCCCAGATTCACCCCGCGTCGTGTTGGTCTTTGTCAGCTCTCAAAACCCACGTTCCCGGTCTTAACCAAATGGGGAGGCGTAAAGTTTGACTCCTTACAAGGCTGCAGGAAAAACACCCTTGATTTGATAGGTTGCATACAAGTTCTTTGAAAACGTTGCATCATGCGTCTTAAAGTAACTGTGCTACTTGTTGCTGAGAACTGCTCAGAGGTGCGATGTCTAGTTGCACGTGACAGCGGCCTGCATAAGTTTTAAAAAGATACACAGTTTTGGAAGGGCTCACTGCCAACCTCCCCCCCCCCCCCGCCAGCCAATAGCCGATCTGAGCTGTTGATCCTGGTCCGTCGTCTGAGGGGTCAGCTACCGGTCCTTCGACTAACATGCCCGGTGTGCCTGATCCGCTGGTCCCTCGACTAACGTGCCCGGTGTGCCTGATCCGCCGGTCCCTCGACTAACGTGTCCGATGGCCTTATCCGCCGGTCCCTCGACTAACGTACCCGGTGTGTCTGATCCGCTGGTCCCTCGACTAACGTGCCCGGTGTGCCTGATCCGCCGGTCCCCCGACTAACGTGCCCGATGGCCTGATCCGCCGCTCCCTCGACTAACGTGAGATGGCCGCTGCCATGATTGGCTTGAGATGATCGCCCTTGTTCACTTGTCTCACCTGATGTGTCCGCCTCCGGCCCCTTGTCTAACCCGAGATCCCGCTCCCATTGCTATGAATGGCCTGGGATTGCCGCCTCCATCCCCCTGACTGGCGCAAGCCGAGCCGCCACCGGTGCCTCGTTTAACCCGAACCGTGCGCCACCGATGCCTCGTCTAACCCGAGCCGTGCGCGACCGGTGCCTCGTCTAACCCGAGCCGTGCGCCACCGGTGCCTCGTCTAACCCGAGCCGTGCGCGACCGGTGCCTCGTCTAACTCGCGTCTAACCCGAGCCGTGCGCGACCGGTGCCTCGTCTAACCCGAGCCGTGCGCCACCGGTGCCTCGTCTAACCCGAGCCGTGCGCGACCGGTGCCTCGTCTAACCCGGGCCGCGCGCCACCGGTGCCTCGTCTAACCCGAGCCGTGCGCCACCGGTGCCTCGTCTAACCCGAGCCGTGCGCCACCGGTGCCTCGTCTAACCCGAGCCGTGCGCCACCGGTGCCTCGTCTAACCCGAGCCGCACGCCGCCGGTCCCGCAGCGCATGTTCCATACGCTGCGCCGCTACGTCAAGTGGCACCAGACGCGCCAGGTGGCGCCCGACGGCCGGTTCGTGGCGCTGAAGCGGCTGGTGGCCTGGTTCGGTCCGTGCAGTCTGGAGGAGTCCGGCCTCATGATGCCCGCCAATGATAGCTGGGCGCCAGAGCTGCTCGACCTGCTGCAGAGGTCAGTGGGCTGCTGTCGTGGCAGCGCCGCCTGCGTCTTGTGAAAGCCCCGGGTCCCCGCCTGAGAGCCGGGGTCAGACCGGTCAGACTAGTCAGGCTGGCGGCGAACTATTCAGTGCGAGCGAGTCGTTATGATGGCGTGGTTTGGTAGAGCGGTTGTCCGTGGGGTGTCATGACACGTTGGTCTTATTGACATCGATTTATGAGAGCGTCGTCGGTCGAAGCTCTCCGCTCGGAGCCGCCATATCACATTGTGCTTCATCCAAACGTAGCTGAGTTCATCCTGTGCTGTCCCTTCCTATGCTGCTTCAGTTCATGGGTCAGGAATCCAGCAACCTCCACGCGAATGTTCCATCTCGCAGACTCATCCAGCTGGGGCATCAGGGTCCACCAGCTGACGTATGTGTGGCGCGCGTGTGTTGGATGAGTGTTCTCGGGCGAGGAGTTCAACAGCTGCCATGTGAGTGTTGCATCTTTCCCCCAGGCTGATGCAGCTCACGGGTCAGGAGTTCAACAGCTGCCACCTGAGCCTATTCCGGAGCGGGCACGACCACGAGCCGTGGCACACTCACGACCAGCCGACGCTGGGCCGACAGCCGGCCATCGCCATCGTCTCTCTCGGTGGGTTCTGCGGCGCGGGCTCGACAGCGATATCCGTCAACATCGCACGGACACGGCAGAGCGGCGGGCAGAACTGCTGCGGGCGGAAACCGGAGCAGGCAGCGACTGGGACACGTTTGTCAGACCGTGCTGTCAGCTGTTGGGCAGGATGAGCTTTTTGATGACGGGACGAAATCCACGACCGTCTGCAGTATCACGCATTCGTTAGAAGTCTCATATCTTTTGTTCTAATTTGAGCTCGATCGCTGTATCCCCGCCAACAGCGTGAGTCCAGCGCTCCCGGGGGCTGTGGGTGTAATACCCAGAGTTGCTCTCGGCACTTTTTGCTGGTTTCGAAAGCCATGTTGTCCATATAACTAGTGTCAGCATCGGAAAATCACCGAATCTGGTGTAATTTGGTAATTCTATCTCTTATTTTATGGAATGTATAATACTTGCGTGCCTGTGCGTCGAATGCCACGATACTGCTGCAGCAATGGTTGCATTGAAGGGTACGCCGTTAGTTACAAAGTTTTCCGGGCGCGATGTTTTTTCTTCGTTTGCTTCCCATTTATTCCCGTCCTACCATGCGAAAAAACCGGTAAAGCCCATGCATGGAATAATCGTTGGTCAGCCAGTCACGGCCTGTGCTCAGGCTTTGGACTCTATCGTCGATGCAGTCTTTCGGAATAATATCCGTCCCGGACCGTTATCCGTACGGCTCATCGGTAGACAAATACTATCAGAGACTTTGGAATGGCGCGAGGCTCATAATGTCACGGCGATGTTCACCTTCGTGAGAAGTGGTTGAAGACCGGTGGACTTGCCCGCAGAAGATGCCACAGCTTTGTTGTTGTTTTCACAGGGGAAACAGAATGTCAGAGCGCTGTTGTGTTCGGAAGCCTGTCGTTACAACGTGTACGACACATTTAATGCCACAAATCTTCTACGGAAACTCCGTCCGTCTTCGACTAGCAATAACGAGGGTGAACATCGCCGTGACGTTACTCCATTTATCTCTGCTCCATCTTACTCCATCTTTACTCCATCTTACTCCATCTTACTCCATCATACTCCATCTTACTCCATCTTACTCCATCTTCATTTATCTAGGCTATCGGGGACTCCAAAGTGCCTGATAACATTTGTCTACCGATGAACCCTGGGAATTACGGCCCGGGATGGATGTTGTACCCCTTTCTTTCAGCCCGACGATGCGCGTAAGCCCCGGACTCGAAGTGATGTCCGGTTCTGTGTGCACGCCAGGTGCTGTCCGGAATTTTGAGCTGCGCCAGAAGAGTGGCGGTGGCACCAGGTTCCTGCGGTTTCCGCTGTTCCCTGGTAGCGTACTGCTGATGGAAGGCAATACTCAGGAAGACTGGGTTCATCAGGTGGGTGAGACAGCGCCGGCCCCTCTGGCCCGTCTCCGGACGGGCCCGGTGCCCCAGGGCGCCTGCACGGGGCTTCTCAGCTGTTTGCCATGCAGCACAGGAGTCCTCCTTTGCGGGCTGTCAATAAATGTGATTCGGAGCACTCTGTTGTAAATTGTGTTTAGATTGTTTGCTAAAAGTGACCAGCTTTTTGTGACGCTTTCAGGTTCCTAAGGATCCTCTCGCTAAGGAGGAAAGAATCAGTCTGCAGTTCCGGGTCATGTACGATCCAATGGATATCCAAGCACAAAACAGGCCACGGCTGTGAATCCCACCATGAAGTCGGCAATAGAGGTGCAGCACATAGGCCGGCGGGGAACGTGGCGTCACTGGCCCAGATGTGACTTTGTGTAGCTGTAGAGCGTGCAGGTGGAAGATGTACTGCCTTGCACTGCATTCAGCGTTAGAACAGTCAGATGTTTGGCGTGGGATGATGGCGTTTGTTGTGAAGTATTGTCGCAGGAGACTTCGCTTCACATGTTTAAGATGGTATTTAGATACGTTTTGATCGCCACAAGTATCGGTACTTTCATCTCCATCGGTCGTGTGCAGTGACGCGCGTTTCACTACGTATTCCTAGTAGCTGTAAAAAAATAAATGCATATTTCTCCATCCTTTTTCGTGTCTGAAGGCGTCACAGTTGGGAACTTCGTCACACCTTTTGCAATGGTCAAGCGGCACATGAGCACGCTCTCGTCTTTGTCTCGGCATACAGACAGTCGGACCACAACCGTGCAGCGTTCATCTATCAAATGGGAAGCTGCCAGCCAATAACCCGATCAGCGACGCTCCTGACTCAGGTGCAATCAAGGAACATCACGAAGGCCAAAATGCTCCCTGACTGATATCCATTAGTACGAAGATGGCGAACACCCTCACAGATTTCTGCGGCGCACTGCCTGGCATTAACAATCCCGACTCCCGCAGGCTTTCTGGAATAACCAGTTTGGTCGCATTTTAATGAGGGTTTTGTGAATCAAGGCTCGTGCCATGTGAGTTATCGGGTTGTGTTACATAATGACGTCATCAGAATGATTGCCGCGATTAATGGGCGTTTGGGCCGCGAAGGTCGTTTTATTTCCTTTGACACTCGCACCGGTGTGCTTGTTCGATACCCTGCACGCCATCTGGCTGCCTGTCCACTGGTAACGACTCCCGACGACCGCCCACTGGACCCCCCTCCCCTCCCCCCGTGTCGCGTGACTGATTGATGACTGTCGTGCCGACGGTCTGTCGCGTGCCCCTGGATCGGCTCAGGCAGACAGACTTACAGTTGGCGTCATCCGCTGGCCAGGTGGAGGAGCCCGTCCTTCAACGTCGCGTTCTTTGCCGCGAAGAAACGACCGATTTTGCAAAGAAACGATTCGTGGCAGCGTGCTGTGCAGTGGTGCTCGCGCTGCTTGCTTTCGCGGGAGCGGGGACGTGAGTGATAACAGTTTGTGTGGATCTGGCAAGCGTGAAGCTGTTCCCAACACTGAGGCCACCCCCATGACCGACGCTAGGCTATGGCTGGAGAACCGGCGCATGTCGGTGAACCCGTTCGAGTGGCTCGAGCCAGTGGACTACTCGTTTCTTAGACTGGCAGCGTTTAATGGTGAGTAACACGTTTCATCAACCTCGCATGGTGTTTCCAACCCTCCAGATATAGCAATGTGTCAGTTTTCTTGTAACATCCCATTGTAAGAGCGAGAGCACCATGGCTGTTTTATCCTCACCCGGCTGGAGGACTGGGTTTGCAAGATACCTTTGAACGAAGAAATGATGCATAGGCATGTGCGGTCTGACGCGTTCCCCACAGCAACCGTAGTGCCCGCCAGGGATATGGTATTTGTGATAATTGTGACTGACTTCACCGAGTCCCGCCCGGCCGGGTCCAGCCCAGCCGGCGCTGCCGGTGACCCGACGGCCGTGTGCCGCAGAGGTGGAGGGCGAGGACCCGCGCACCGACAGTCACTGCCCGCGCGTCGACCCCGAGTCTAAGCGGTTCATCGCCAGCACGGTGCGATTCAACAACAACCACATCACGGAGCTGCCGAGCCTGTCGGCCACGCTCGACTCCCTGCTCTTCGACCGCGGCATGCTCACCTGGCTCGATCTCTCCTTCAACGCCATCGCGGCCATCGACGCCAACCTGACGTGCCTGACCAGCCTGCGCGTGCTCTACTTTCACGCCAACCAGCTGGCCAGCTTGCAGGAGGTGGCCAAGCTGACGATGCTGCCGTACCTGCGAGCGCTGACGCTGCACGGCAACCCGCTGGAGGAGGGCACGCCGCGCTACCGGACGCGCGTGCTGCTACTGCTGCCTGGGCTTCGCTCGCTCGACTTCAGCGCCGTCACGCGCCGGGACCGCGCAATCGCCCAGTTTAACATGCTGCCCAAGCCGCGGCCGCGCAGAATTAAGGACGACGACGATGACGCGGCCGTCTGATGCGCTCCGTCCCAGGCTCACGGAAATTTCGTCTGCGCGTAGGACTAGAACTTGATGTACGTCTTTTATGCTCAATGGCAGCCTCGCAATGTTTAATATTGGGAACTGTTCTCTCGTAAAGCGCATACGACGCGGGCTTGGCTGTTTATTTCAACTCACGATTGCCTCAGTTCAAACATTGATTGTCGACAAATCCGAGTAAAAAAATCGGTCCCCTGTCGACGTTAGTACCGCAGCTTATGACTTGCAACCTCGAGCCGACACGCAGATATTATTGAACACATTGCACTTCATCAATAAGCGGCACCCGCCATCGCACCGGCTCGGAAGTGTGAGCCTGCAGGACACGAAACCGAACAAGACTTCGCAACACCGGGAATTCAACCTCAGATATAATAAACCAAGACATACACTGCATTCCCCTAATCACTGGACTTGGGTTCGAACTGTTTCAGAAAGTCCTCCTCCATGGGATGGGTCTTTCCCACGATCACAAGCGAATGAAGCGGCGGGCCGGCGTCACAGACGGCCAGGTCGCGGAGAGGGCCCACCTCGATCCGCTGCCGGTCGGTGCCGACGCGCGCCAGGCCGACGGCGCGCGTGCTCGGCGTCAGGCCCGCCCAGTCCTCGGGCCGGTCGGCTACCGCCTCCAGCAGCTGGCCGGCCGCCGCCGACACGCTCATGTAGCGCGGCGGCTCGAACACGCGCCGGCCGCGCACCAGGTTCTCCACGCTCTGCTCCTTCACCTTGATGTCGAGCAGGCAGAGCGTGTGCAGGCCGCGCGCCAGGTTGGCGTCGATCCGCTCGACAAAGCTGTCGGGCCGCCACGTTTCGGTCCAGAACGGGATGGAGACCGTCTCGCCGAAGCTGTACAGCTGCAGGCCGCAGCACCCGACGGCGCTCATGATGCTGGCGTTGTGCACCACCTGGCAAGGCACGCCGCGCTCGGCGGCGCGCAGCACCAGGTCGTGGTGCGTGGTGGCGGCGAATGGGTCGCCGACCACCAGCAGGGCGACGTCGCGCTCGGTAGCGCCGGCGATGACCGAGTCCAGGCCCTGCTCGACTGTCTCGCGGTCGGCCAGCGTCACCGGCCGGCCGTACAGCTCCTCCAGCGCCTCCACGCCGCACGTCAGGATCGAGGTGTACGCCTCCAGGTAGACGGCGTCGCAGCGGCGCACTATCTCCAGGCCCTTCACGGAGATGTCGCGGGCGTCTCCCAGGCCCAGACCCACCAGGTAGAACATGGCCGCCCACCTAGCTGGAACGGCGACGACAGCAGATGTCAGGCGTTGGGCTGCCGCCGGGTGACATGTACGTGGCATGAAGCACAACCCGCAAATTTGCAGCTCTCAATAGCTTTTTATGAGCGACAGGTGACTCAGCCAGTGCTTCAATATCAGATACAAACGGCAACACATTAAAATGGCACACAGTATCACCAAGGAATACTTTCGGAATGGTTTCAGCAGGCTGCTGTACAGACTGCAGGATAAGAGACTGTAGTTGCTGTCGTGGCGTGCATGTCAAACACATGGTCCGATATAATGCCTGGGGAAACATTCCGAGAGTTGATTTGATTCTTACGCAGTACAACGTCAATGAGTATAACGACGTTAGGAAAAGGAGCGTCCCGGTCAAATGCCAGGCAACAGCCTGAGAAAATGGGCACGGTACTGTCAATGCCCGCCAATCTCTGTACACTGTCAGACTTGATGTGATCGCGCTCTTCAGCCGCCTCGGTAGCGTACGATTCCCCTGTTGTGTTAGCAAGAGGGAAGTCATTCGGTATTCATTCCCTTCGTCACTGCACTTGGGTTTGAACTGTTCCAGGAAACCTCTCCCACATGTAGTGTGTGTTGCCTGTGATTGCGAGTGAGCAGCGTGGTGGACAGGTCATCGTCCGCCATCTAACGGAGTGGCCGAACTTTCCCTACCCTGTTACCTATCATTCAGTTGGTGCCAGCGCTACCGGCTGACAGTGCACAGCAATCCGAAACTGGTGTGAGGAGTTAACTTTTGGGCTCATGAGCAACTTGTCGGCCGGCGAACGAAACGCGTGGGAAAATAATCGAATGCGCATTAATCCGAAGGGAAGTTTCCCGTATGCCCAGCGTAGCACAGGTCCGTCTCCAAACTAGGGGCGCAGGCAGCACCCGCGCCACAGCCGGTCCCCATCACCGGCCTCCGCTCTCAGGCGGCACAGGGCCGTCTCTAGACGACAGGCGCAGGCAGCACCCCACCACAGCCGGTCCCCATCACCGGCCTCCGCTCTCAGGCGGCACAGGGCCGTCTCTAGACGACAGGCGCAGGCAGCACCCCACCACAGCCGGTCCCCATCACCGGCCTCCGCTCTCAGGCGGCACAGGGCCGTCTCTAGACGACAGGCGCAGGCAGCACCCCACCACAGCCGGTCCCCATCACCGGCCTCCGCTCTCAGGCGGCACAGGGCCGTCTCTAGACGACAGGCGCAGGCAGCACCCGCGCCACAGCCAGTCCCCATCACCGGCCTCCGCTCTCAGGCGGCACAGGGCCGTCTCTAGACGACAGACGCAGGCAGCACCCGCGCCACAGCCAGTCCCCATCACCGGCCTCCGCTCTCAGGCGGCACAGGGCCGTCTCTAGACGACAGGCGCAGGCAGCACCCCACCACAGCCGGTCCCCATCACCGGCCTCCGCTCTCAGGCGGCACAGGGCCGTCTCTAGACGACAGGCGCAGGCAGCACCCGCGCCACAGCCAGTCCCCATCACCGGCCTCCGCTCTCAGGCGGCACAGGGCCGTCTCTAGACGACAGGCGCAGGCAGCACCCGCGCCACAGCCAGTCCCCATCACCGGCCTCCGCTCTCAGGCGGCACAGGGCCGTCTCTAGACGACAGACGCAGGCAGCACCCGCGCCACAGCCAGTCCCCATCACCGGCCTCCGCTCTCAGGCGGCACAGGGCCGTCTCTAGACGACAGGCGCAGGCAGCACCCCACCACAGCCGGTCCCCATCACCGGCCTCCGCTCTCAGGCGGCACAGGGCCGTCTCTAGACGACAGGCACAGGCAGCACCCCACCACAGCCGGTCCCCATCACCGGCCTCCGCTCTCAAGCGACGCCGCAAACGGCAAGCAGCTACCATTCGGATGTTACGATCATCATCAATGCAGGCAAGATGACCAAACTTTTTTGTTATTACATCCATATTTACTGCAGAGAAGATTAAGTTGCTCTGGCACCCTCATACAATGCACAGCTTTTCCTCAGATTTCCTCCCAATCAAGAAGGGTTGTGAAATAACTTCAGTATGTCATAAGCAAAGTAGTGCAAAATTTGTTTAGTGTCAATCCCCCAGTGTTATACCCACTTTGTTGCTGGGGTGATGCTATCAGCTCCTCCAGTTGGGGCTGAGGGGGTAGATAAAACACCTTTTGTTTGTCTATATTCCTACACATCAAAATGGCTTAAGTATGTGTCCAATATCCACTAATATACTTTAGCACAGACCACCTCAATGGCAGTCAACAGGTCAGAAAAGATTTGGAATCATATCTTGCTATCACAACTATGACAATCATGGCAGCAAACATACTGTCTGTTTCCCTTGCTCAGCACCATACCTGCTTATGTCATGTACACCCCCCCTCACCATGAGCCAACTTGAGTGTATGCAACTGGGTGGTCTGTGACAATAATGTACAGGATTAATGCATGGCATGTGTGGCATAAGCTTCACCACATTCAAACCAAAATAAATCTTATTTTGGTCATCACATAAATATTTCAAAACAGAGTGCACCAAATGGTTCCAACCATGCATACACTGTGAATACTTCAAAGACAAATGAGCTGCACATTTTGACCTGTGCTAACAGAAACACAATTGCTTTGAAGCTATGACATGATGTGGCAGTTAGAATGCCTTCTCAACTCTAATTTCACCATAGTCCAACTTTTTATATCAAAATTGCTCTAAAATGGTCCTAAATCCTAGATAGAAATGTGTTTGGTAGCTATCCAGCATGATGACATCTTTTTGTAGTTGCAGCATATAGCTTTTTGAGCATTTCACTTTAAAAAATATGAGCTAATGCAGGCAATGTCAGGTTTCCTCAACATCCTGTTTGCCATCCAGGGTATAAGAAACAGTAACTGAGGTTAGGCAGTCAAATATTCAGAAATTAAAAATCACTCTTAATCTTGGGCCACATGTGCCATTATTATATCTTATCATTATGTATATATATATATATATATATATATATATATATATATATATATATATACATATAAGTAATTCTGCACCACCCACAAACACTGTACTTCCATTCTAGTATATAGTGCAAATCTGAAGCAAAATATTTTGGCTTACCATTTAAACAGCTTTAAAGCACCAGTTTTTCTATTACCATAACACCTGGCACTGACTTTGATAAAACCTCAACAGCAAACATGCATTTGTATATGAGCAGCTACACCTTGCAGATTCTTCCTTGTTAAGTGAGGAACTTATGCCTCACCTTACATCTGATAATATTTTTGATTATGCAATTGTGTGACTAATTTATTATTGTTGATTGGAGTTTTAGGGTGTGCCAACTACTGAGATAACTTTGTGCTCAGTGTGGCTAATTTACAAACTTGATAGATCTTACAAACAAATTTCAGGTTGCAAATGTAAGGTTACATCACACATTCTTGATTCATGATTCTCAACTTTACACAAAGGGTTCCTCCCAAACTGTGACAACTGCAGTTTAAACCTCAACATATGCAAAATTTGATTTGCAAGGGTCACTGAGCAATATTTCCATCATGGCATGTGCTCTACAACCAACTTGTTCAGGATTACAATGACCTGTGAGTATATTACATATCTAAACTGTGGCACAAAAATTGAAGTGTGCAATCACTAGGCATTTTGGTCATGGAATGGAATGAACATTACTTAAAATAAAATAAATGGAGCATTCTCTGACACAATATTGTGAATTGATTGAACTGACAGGTGTAAGCAATGATAAAACAAACCTAACTTGACGCTGGTTTATTATTACAATGAACCACTTGTACTGGTCATTGTCAACATTTGTACCCTAACTCTGCAAAACACATCATGTCCATCTTGACACTTGCACGTGCAATAAATGAACCATATACCAACCTCGTCTTACGCGAACTTCTCGCTAGCAGACCGGCTTTTCCCCCAGCACACGCAGATTACAAGACAGGACCAGGCTATGTAGCCGATAGAAATGGCCACCAACCAACTAAACCAGGTATTTTGGGCTAGTATGACAAAAATAAACGTACAAGTTTGACATGGGACGTCAGATACCCATAAACCCACGTGGCAGACACTGTGAGAGCTGAGTAAAAACACGTGTTTTTTGTAGTCAGGGATTGTAGCACGTGCGTAGGATCTGTCTTCTTAACGCTGGAAAGCTTCCGAATGTCACCACTAAATGATGTTATATGACTTGTCGAGGGCATAATGAGTGGATGCGTCGGCTGAGGCCAACAACGCGAACGGTTAACGGCGCTCTTCAAATTCTGACAACATTTCGGACAGGGTTGTCAATATTTGTAAATCCTTATGTGTGGGGGAGGGGTCGAAATGAAGGCCCAACAACTTACCCTCCCCATTTCTTCTCACCGGATTTAGCCCACTTTATTTTGGCTTAACGCGATGCATATTTTTAATCTTTACATAATTCAATAAAAGTCCTTAATTTAGGCAGTATAAAAGTCATGCAGGGTTGGGCCCAGGGATCAGGCACTGGTCAAAAACGTCTCTTCCGACTGGCACGTGAACGCGCCCTATAGAGGCCACCTGAGAGCGCCAACGGCACTCTTCTTTGGCAGTCATGGGAGACGGCACGCATTTTGGTTGTGAGGGACGGGGACCGGGTTAGCCACAAAGGACTTAAGTCATCCCCATATTCCAGAGCTTCTCGTTTTAACCTCACAAACCATTGCGTGTCTTCTGGCGCTAGGCATGTGATGTTTATTGCATCGTTTATCCGTTCACCTGTTACGATTTGTATCTTGTGGTGAGAGCAACCATGACTTTGGTATGAAAGTGGTACGAGGCGCCACTACGTAGAAATCTCAAAGAAAATAGCCCTTGTGTTATGATCACCTTTTACCCACGTTTTTTGTAGAAAATAGCCCTTGTGTTATGATCACCTTTTACCCACGTTTTTTGCCTGCCACCTGCCAAAACCATTCGGGGGGGGGGGGCAAGGCAACATTGGAGAGGTTCAACTCAACATGGGAAGGGGGAGGGGGGGGGCAGGGCCCTCACAAAAGAATACAAATCGACATTCGTGATTTCGGATACCTCGACCATGTACAGGGGCGGCAGGACGATAGTTCTCTTTTTTGATAGATTTGTAAGCGTGGAAATGAAAGCTGTAGCCCGCCCCACATACAGCGGGGGGGGGGGGGGGGGGCGACGTATCAGAACAAACGTCCTAAAATGCCACCAAGGCAATGGGAGCGAGCCGTTTTGCTGGCTGTTGGGTGAAAGACCACATCGTGAACCGATGAAGAAGTCCACGGGCACCGAACAAGTATCAACAAAGTGAGCAGCGTTCAAGGTCCTTACCATTTTTTCTTGTCTGATGGGTAACGGAGCCGTGGCGACCTTATTCGCTTTCACCAGCTAGCAAATATTCTCCGTATAATGCGGCAGCGGAAGAATAAGCTGGAGTGCAGCAAGTGGTGATTGTTGTCGCGACAGCCCATACGATATCACAGGTCCGACGACAGGGACCAATATGTCGGCGGTGGAGCACTGGCCTTGCAGCTCAGCACGGCTGGCCTTTGGCAGGGATGGTCGTGAATGTCGAAGATGGAGCCATGCTGATAACCGACGCTGCGGGATAGATAATGATTGACTGCCATACGTGTTCGCCGTTCATTAACAACAGATACTTGCCATTGATTTGAAAGACTGCCTGATTATCAGAATGATTGCTCACGAGCTTCCTTCGACAACCGGTAGTCCTGATAACGGGGGAGGAGCTGCACCGGACCTGACCGAGTCTCTGAGGAAACGCAAGGCGGGGCTGGACAGGAAGCAACAAGGACGGAAGAAGCGGCTGAAGGAGGAGGAGAAGCTGATAGCCTCCAAACATCGCCAGAAAGGGGCGAGCGCGCCTACGGCGGTGGACGCTTGACTTGTGAGGCTGGCCAGCGACGAGCGGCCTGGGGCAGATCCAGAGGAGGGGGGGGGGGGCACGGGGCCATACCCCTCTCGGACCCCGAAGGGGCCCATTGGCTCCGAGGGGGCCCATGTCCGGCGGAACAGGTACAGTTTTTAACACAAAGCGGAACAAAATCGAACATCTCTGGATTTCCAGGCGACCAAGAACAGTTGCGAGTGAAAGTTAAGTGCTCACGAGAAGAACAAAAAACTCGATGATTGAAAGCATTGTGGATTTGGAATCTTAAGCCTGCTAATACTTTCTGGAATCCCCTATGCTGTTTTCGGGGACCTAAATGCTCACTTGCAAGGCAATTCCGATTGTTAAGGAGCCTTTCACGTTGCCCTTGACTTCTTTGAATTTGCTCGGAGGGCCCCGCGCTGTTACCGGGCCTTTCCTGCTAGCCTCCCGGGGTACTCTTGTCATTACTGGCCTTTCCAAGGATTCGAAAGGCTCTGTGGGCTATAGCCGGGCCCCATATCTTTCTGCCACGGCATTCTCGGTTGCTCAGGGGCCCTTTACTTTGGCCTCGGTTAACCTACGGACACACCCGTGATATGCTCATGGGCCCTCTACATTGGCCTAGCGCGCTTCCCATTCTCTGTCACTCGCTTAGGGTCCTACGCTCTTGTGGGGGCCCATTTGATAGCTCGCTCTGGCACACTCAGTCGTTTGGGGACCCTCCACACTGGGTCTTGGGTACTTATTATACGATGGGAGGCCGTACGCTCCTTTGGGGGGGGGGGGGGCTTATCTGATAAGCTGCTCGGGCACATTCGATCGTTCGGGGCTCCTTACATTAGGTCTTGTGGACGTCCTTTTTTAATTGGGGCCCTATGCACTTGTCGGACCCTTCTGTTCGCCTCCCTAGCCACACTGGATTGTTCGAGGGGCCTTGCACATTGTGTCTTGGGGTTTGAATTTAGGGCTCTACGCTCGTATCGGGGCCATCTGATATACAAACTCGGATATACTCCATCTTTCAGGGTCCCTTTGCAAGTTCTGCTGTTCTGGTGTCTGGCCTCCGGCTCACTGGTACACGCGGTACAGTCAAAGTCACTTCTGTATTTGACACTCGTCACAGGCACTCCACACGGCGCGGCCCGCCGGCGCGTCCCTCCTCGCACTGGCGGCTCTCCGAGTCTTCTCTGGTTACTACCTCCTCTCCTGACCCCTGCGTCCGCGTCCCTCGCCTGGGACAGGAGGGGAACGCGAGCGCCTTTAAGCGGCGCTCGCCAGACCACGTAAACATTCACTGGCTAGCATGTAGGAGTTCTCTGACACCTTACATCTTCACACAGGGTTTTGGGTACTCCTATTTGAACTGAATTATCTACACTCTTGTCGGGGCCCTTCTGATAAGGTGCTCGGGTCCATTCGATCGTTGGGGGACCTCTATATCTGGTTGTGGGTACTTCTTATTTGGATGGAGGGCCCTCCGCCCCTTTCGGGGCTCTATCTGTTAACGTGCTCTGGTGTACTCGATTATGCGGGGCCCTCTGCATCGTGTCTGGGGTATTTCATATTTGAACGGAAGGCCCTACGCTCTTGCCGGGGCCTCGCCGTCGACCTGCTCGGGTACACTCCATTATTCCGGGGCCCTCCTTATTGTGTCTTGGGTACTCCTATCTGAATAGGGGGAGGGGGTCCTACGCACTTGACGGGACTTCATCTGTTCGCCTCCTCAGCCACACTGCATCGGTCTGGGGCTCTGTATATTGGGTATTGGTGTTTGAATTTAGGGCCCTACACTTCTATCGGGGTTATGTGATAATTTATAATAATCTCTGTAACCATGTAATGATCTAATAATGCAATAAATAATGTAATAATCTGATAATCTAAAATCGTTGTACTCGTTCATCGAGTCTCTCCGCTACTGGCAACATAGGTCAGTGAACTTTGACGACTTTATGATACCTTGCAAGGCCTATTGTGCTGTCAAAATGCATTATGATTTATCTCAGTGCGTTTAAAGTCGGGTTCTCAAATTCTGCGGTCAAAATTACCTAACAAACTGGCTATTTTGAGCCCAGTATGTGTTTTGCAGAAGGTGCCCACAAAGATAGGTGATGACCTAGGCCAAGGTCATGTGCTCTGTGATCATATAATGATTTACATGTAAGTCAGTATCATTTTCCTCATATACGGCTACAAAACTGCGCAAGAAAACGTACAAACTTGCATTATTTATGAAAAATAGCAGCAATTGACCTGACTTCAGTTCAATGGCATGGCATATTCCGAAAGATCTGAAATATGCAATCTGTGGGCACTTTCAAGTTATATTACTATACCAAGTTTGAACAAAGGCAATTGACCCGGAAAAAGGTTATGTGTGGTCAGAGTTTCTTAGTGGTTGACGTTTTTGACCTAACCTAGGCTACTTAGATGTCAGCCTGCCGGGGCGCTGCCGATCGTTTAGAGGCCCAACACGTTGGTCTTGGATTCTTTTTACTTGCTCTGAGGACCCTAGACTTGTTGACGGGGGCCACCTTGTTCGCCTCCTGCGGTACCCATGATGGCTCAGGTTCCGTCCCCATTCCGCCTTGGTGTCTTCGCCTCAGAGCAGAAGTCGGATGTGTGTCAATGAACTTTTACGTGCAATTGTCGAGCATAACTTACGTGCCGCCGGCGTCGTATGTGTCATCCCTAACAGTTATTGAGTGCGTGACACCTAGTATACTAGTGCATCACGTTCTTAACATATTTTGAATGCTAGGATATCTTGTACTCCTCTATAACAAAGGCAAAATTATGCACTAGTCGTCACCCATCAGGTGATTGCATTGCCTAGCTGGGTAGCCGTGAATAAGCTGGGAATCAAGTTCATGCCTTGTTTTGATGGTTGTTAGCGGCCAGCTCGAATTTATTCTGCCTGTTGTTCCGAAACACCTAGGCTCCGACTATATATATATATATATATATATATATATATATATATATATATATATATATATATATATACATGGGTGTACGAACAGGGGGGCCAGGGGGCCATGGCCCCCCACTTTTCACGATGGGGGGGCAGCAGTGTTGGGTGCCCCCCCCCCCTCTTTTGAGATGAAATTTGGGGTTAGCTTACCTTTGCACTACATTAAACATACCTGCCGATTACCTAGCTCACCAGTCATCTTCCTCAAGATGCGTCATCTTTTTTTGTATGCTCATTGGCC